ACATGCATCGGTTAAGATATTGTAAAGAGATTGATTCAACTGTGGTATAAAGAATAACTGTAATTACCGAGATGTGGTTATAGTCTTCTTTTATTATTCCATGCCATATCTGTGGTTATTAGATGTGCACAATTTTAATTTTCAGGTGTAGTAATTTTTTTTGCGAGCGATGTATTATAACAGATATAAATTGAAATGTCTAAATAATAAATAGGATAAACGATTGTGACGATTGATAAATGGGGAAGCAGGTTATCGGTATTATTTATTGGTAATATTAAATACGTCTCAAGGAGTTACTTCAATTACTTGAAAGCTAACTACCGAGTTATAATTAATTAGCACCTAAAGAGTGATTGAATTTTTTACAGCTCCACATCTCCAGATAAGAAGCGAAGTTGGACCCTTATCGAAACTTAGTTATCGGATAGTCGGCTTTCCCTCAAAGTTTTCTCGATATCGATTTCACGATTCGTAATTTCATAATTTCAACGCAATTTCTTTCGTGGTAGATGCTAAACCTACGTCCCTTGATATTCAAGATGCTATCCACGTTGATGGACAACATCTTGAAGAAATCTCATTGCAGCAGGGAGCGCAACTTTTATATCTCGAATCGTTATCGTTACCCGGCTCCTCAGGCTCGTTTTGGGTAATTTCACTCTTAAGTTGCTTTGTAACATTTCCCAAGGGCTTGTAAAAGCCCTATTACTCGCTCACGATATTACAGTACTTCCGGAAACTCAGATTTCCTCGACAACAATGCCGGCGCATAAGTATTGTGTCCATTCTTGGGTTTATCCTTATCTCGCCGTTACTTAAATTGCAATAACAATGAAAGGCAGTAAAGATCCAGACATGGCCGACTGCATAACAGTGTATTGGGTCAACGACTAATTAAGTTGCAAAGCAGCAAGCCGAAATTTCAAATGTTAACTAAGCTGAGACTCGTCTCCTGAGAGTAATTGCATTCACCCCGTAGAACAGGCTGGACGAAATTACGTGGCAGACATTTGCATTTTTTAGCGACAAGTGTACTATTTTCGGACACTTCGTAAACTATTTTTTTCTTTTTTTCTACCGTAGAGATAAACAGTTTTGAGTCGAGCTTTTGTCAACAGTCATTATTATTTTGTTCCTGTCTTACGATAGAAGTTTTCCGAAAGCCACTAAAACTATACTCGCTACTCTTCACCTACACTTGAAAAGTTCAAATCTTTCGATAATGATTTTTCAATGGTACACCAAGACCCTCAAAGAAGCTTTAAAATCGACCGGCAATTGTCAATAGTTTGTATGAATTTTCTGCAAAAATATCGGAAGGGGCCTAATTATTATATTATTATCTTCGTGATATCGATATTTAATGTGCATCGTATAGGTCATAATTTTACTAACGGGTGGAGATAAAGCGATCACTGTCGAGTCGCTGCAACGAATCCGAAATCTCGGCTGATTGGGCAAATGTCACGTGACAAGAAATACTGTTCGCCTATTGGTTATCGGAGGTCGCATGTCGAACGCCGAACTCTATTCGACATACGCGTGATAGTTCACGAAAGGATAGCTTCAATCGTATCGCACAATGGCAACGTATTCGATGCGTGCGCGAGGAGAGTGAAAAATCACAAATGCGAAAAAGATTGTAGGGATAACCGAATAACGTCGACTGTCACAAAGTGACGGCTCCGAATCGATACATCTCACGACAGTTCGCAATCGGAACAGCTTCAACCGGAAAACTGATACTTGATATCCGCCGACTAAAATGTCGAGAAAAATTCGCATCGCGCGCAGCCTCTCGGGAAAGTGATTATTTTTGCATAGATTAGAGGCGCAATGCCGCACTCGAAGTGAAGCAGTGTCGGAGGGATCTCATTAGAAAAATGCACTTGGCTTCAGACTCTGTCCAGCATGGCTGGGTACATTAAGTCTCATTAAAAGGATCGAACGGATCGAGAAAAATATCTACGACCAAGTCAATCGAAATCGCCATTCGTTACAAAATAAAAAAAAAAAGAAAAGATCGTAACTGAATTGCGATTTTCATTTGCAGATTTATTGATTTCCTTTGAATCGTCATGTATTGTTATATTTCTGTGAGTTTTTTAGCAGATGAATGGTACTTGCAGGAAGAAGGTACTCGCATTTGGAAGGGATTTCAGTCCGTGCTATGCCCCAGCCTCGTAAAATAACGAAAGACTATTTTTTCCGACAGACAATGTCAAAAGTCACTTCCATATCCCCTTAATGTTTAATTCCAGGTTTTTTCGCCCGCGTGGAACGTTCTCTCGCTCTCTGTATCAATTTATATTCCCAGGTTTAAGGCTGTACGACGTTCCCTTGTGAAAGGTGAAGCTTTTTCCCGCCAAAATGACGCGTACCTTGCATTATCCACGGGGCATAATTCTCCCAGAGATACCCAGCTCATTCTGAATGGAATAGAAATGACACTCAAACGTGTCTTCCAGGCAGTGGATGCCATAATTAGAGATGTTACGAAATGCAGTGAAATATTCAGGGGAAATGTTACATTACTGTCGATCGATAGGTGCTCTCCGGTATCGACGACCGAGGGTAGACCTCGCATATGTATTCTTCAAGATTGCAGCAATTACACCGTAATTTTCCATACCTAACCCACTTCTTTTACCCGCGAAGAAACTAATGCTTCAGGCCACGTTAAAGGAAAATTAAAAATTCACGGTACAAAACATAGACATAAAGACACGTAACTCCGAAGTCACGAGGTTAAAAAAGGATATTGAAATTAATTATCAATCAGAATATCATATCAGTTTTCCTACCCACTTTCGACATTAAAATCTCATTGTCGAAAATTTATTCGAATTCATTGACTCGAGAAATTATTCATACGTGCCCATCGGACAGTCGACAATGCGCCCTCCTATACGGATCAACTCTTGCATGGTACATAAGAATGAATAAATAATTTAAGAGGACACAGAGAGGAGAGTATTTTCCGTTTCCGCGCGCAAACGTAGCTTTCCCTTCCAGCTGCAAAGTTCTGATTTATCTTTCTCCCGAGCCAGGGGGAACTTCATTCTTAGTTACGTGCATAAAACACACAGAAGCTGAAATAGCGAGGCGATCATGCGTTAGGGAGGTGAAGATGCGAGCATAGAGGGATAATGAGAGAAAAACGGTTGAATAAATCAGCGAGGTACGCTCCAGATTAGTACAAATAGAGGCCGAGATAATCTATAAAGCGGCACTAAGAATGCCAGGTTAATCCGAATCCACGGCACTGCAGCAGAGTCGGGTTGAATTCCTACGTTAAAAATGCTTCTCTTCTGGGGGCGGAGATTAAAAATTTTCCGACCGCGGGATGAGAAAACTCTGCCTGGTCATTCTTTTTTTGTTGGAATAACTTTCCCCACTTCGTGCCAATTTCGGTGGAATACTTTCAACAAAGGGGCAATCAACGCGATACAATGGGTGACCCATCGTGCCGCAATGTATATCTGGTCCATCAAATTTTCCACCGTGAAAAGTGATGAAATCTGTCGGTGTGATAAACACGGAGGACCTCCTCGGCATGAAATTGACGAGGATGGGATTGCGGTTGAGCACCACTGTTACAGCTCTTCTGCATCGGCCGGTGGGTGGTGGCGAACCACCCATGCGTTTTGCAACGACACAATGGACAGATATAAAATGGACCCTTATAAGCGCACTAAACGGATTTCATGACAGATTTTGACAAATCCACGACTTAACGACAACGTTCCGTGCGCAAGTGTCGCTTCGCGGACCGTAACAATGTGAAAACAAAGGCTCGATGACGCGTCGACATCGAATTGGAACCGATTTTTAAGGAAGAACGGAAACGCGAAGATAGTCAATGACTGTCCACCCTCGACTTTTTCCTGGACGTAGGATGTATGGACCTCGCCCATAGATCCACCCACGAAGACAGCAGAATTGAAATGAAGGAAACAGAGGGGAGTGTTACCTTGCTCTTTCTCTCGTTTACATAAAACTGTGAAACAGCTGCGCAACGCAATATGGCGACAGACCGTTTAACGGCAAAAGAGGGAGAAAGGATGGCCCCCCTGTTCGATCTCTCCCTTTTCGGTGCTCTCGCAAGGATACGAAAGGAACTGTCCAGCTTGCGAGTTCCATATACTCTGCGTCCATGACCATACCATGAAGACAACGGAATTGAAATAGAGAAAATAAAAGGGCCGTTATCTCGTTCTTCCCCTCTTTTTTCTAAGCGAAACAGTTGCGCGGAACAATATGGCGACAGACTGTCTAACGGCACGAATGAGAAAGAGAGAGGCCGGCCCCTCTGCATCGCTCTCCGTCTTTTTCGCTGCCTTCGCAAGAATATCAAAGGAGCGGTCGAGTTTTCAGGGCCTATGTACTCTAGATTCAGGGGTTCCTCTTGCCAGCGCAGGATCAAACAAAAATGGTTCTCACTCGGCAACTCCTTCAGCCATCTCGGATACGTGCTTAATCTCCTAGAGGAAGGAAGTGCCAGGTGAGGACCATTTTGGTCCGACATTGGCCCGGGATCTCGGCGGCAGTGATCCTCGACCCAGCAACTCCACCCTCCGCGACTCCAAGCGGGACCTTCGCTCCGATCGCGCCCTTCGACCAACGTCCGACATCCGAAAATCCCCCACAAAAAGCTCCGCGACATGAACGAAACGGCGCAAGAACCACTCCCAACTTTCTACAATGGACTTCCGTGCGCTCTTCTCGGGCAGCCTGAAACGTATTTTAAAAAAACCCATATGCCCGACTTTCGTATTACGTGGGGAAATTCCTCTCCTTTCCGCGGAGGGTCCGGGTATAAACGGGGAACTACGAAAACCCATTAAACTTGTTGGCAGCGCGGTTTCGCTTTTTCCTCGGCCCAACTATATAGTGGATTTTCCTCCGGTCGGGCGACACTCGTTGAACGTTCGCCGGACATTCGTTGAGCCCCTGTGAATAGAATCGGGGGGAGGTCAAAAGAAGCTAGAACGAACCTCGTCCTCGACGGTGGCGACCGTGTTGACGGAATCCATGCTCTGGGACAGCGGCGCGTCCATGATGTGGGCCAGCTCGGTGGACGGTCCGGGCTTAGCGGGTGGCGGTGAAGACTCCACCGTTTCCCGTCTCGGGCGTTTTAGAGCGGGCGGCGTTATGATTGTAATCGGCGAAGACGACAGGCGCCTCCAAGCAGGGTCACACTAATAAGCTCTCCCCCTCTCTCTCTCTGACTGCGAAGCGGCGATTCTACCTTCCCTCCGTGCCTCCTTTTTTACCTCCGACGCTGCTAGGCGTCTACCGTTAATGCCTTGCGAGGAGCGTCGATCCCTTTTCCCACAGCCGCTACTTCCCTCTCGTTCTCACTCGCGGGTCCACCGGTCTTGCTTCTGCTTCATCACCCGTTTTTCCTAAACTTCACCGAAATTCCGCGGTCAGCGAGATGCCTCCAACACCCGATTACGCATACACGCGGACCCCCGTTCGTATATGCGTGCACTTAGGTATAGTTGCGGATATTAATGGTTTTTCAGAGTTTTCCTTCCGTTTCATCCCCCGTTTTTCCTAAACTTCACCGAAATTACGCGGTCATGAAATACCTCCACCTCCCGATTACACGTCTACGCGGGTCCCCATTTGTATATGCGTGCACTTAGGTATAGTTGAGGATGTAAATGGTTTTTGAGAGGCGGTTTTTATAGTGTCGGGAACATATCTGCGAAGAAGGCATTCAGGCATTCATGCCCGCCTGTGTACAGGCCCAGGATGCAATAGAACTCCATTTACCCAAATTCTGTTCAATGCTGGATCGTCTAAACAGCTGATCTCGTAACGTGGGAACCATTTCTCGGTACTGAATTACTCCCGGGAATATTTAGGCAGTCCAAATCAAACTAATGCACTAAAGAGCGAAATGTGGAATCCTAAATGAATGTACATGTCCAAAACGTGTTATCCAAACGCGAGACTCTGTTTCATTCATCTACATGTGAAAAGGAAACGTAATGAACGTTTAAGTTACCCAAACGTCCCGGTTGTACAAGCCGCCTTGCGTTCGCCATGTTTGGATAAGTGGAGTACTCCTGTATGTACAGGGGGGGGACATGAACGCCTTCCCATTGTATATGTTCCCCAGGGTATGCTGATAATACGCAATACGCAGGGGTGAATGTACAAATTGAATTACGCTTGCGTCTAATATATTTGTACGCGATAAGTGCCAAGTAAAATATCTTGTTAACCGACTTAGTTCCTCGTTGGTTATAAAATTCAACACAAGGAATTATCGCAAACCTCCACACGCGAGTGTCTGAATTCAAGCAATGATTTTCTGAGAAAATCGTTTTGTATTGATCAGTATTTCACAGAGGATAAATATCTCCTGTCTCTACTCGCGACGTGGGTAATACCCTTGCAAGAGGTCTGGCATTTCAGGGAAATGATTATTTCCCTAGTTAGTAAATGGTCCCCTGGGCCAAATAGCTACTTGTCAGAGTTTGGGGGCAGTTCCGTGCAGTAACTTTGCTAAATATCGAGGAACTAATTTCGTCGGTAAACTCATGCGATAGATAACCACTCACGAGAGCTCCCTTGAATGAATGGATTTTTTTTTTTCCTTTGCGCTCCTAACACGGGAGGAATTCCGGAGATAGTCAACGACGTGTAGTAAACGCAACTCTCGTGCGTACCGAGTGTGCGAACGAAGACGAGACCCGCGTTTTTATGAGTTTAAACCCCGGGTAATAACTGAAACGTGCTTCTAACGTTACCATGTGGCTACAAACGAACTTTCACTCTGCCTGTTCATTCATTTATTATCAACCCGATGAATGGAAGCATCGAGTAGGACCCTCGCGCCTTCTCTGTACATTCGGTAAGGATCGGTAATAGTGGGGGCTTAAGGGTACCGAGTATCTCTCCTCGGTCCAAAGCTCGGCAAAAACATTGGAAGTGTCCACACAAAGACCGGAGGGCAAAGCCCAGAAACAATAAAATCAGGCCCAGATCCGATACTTTTTTACCCCCCTGGCGCAACGCCACATTTCGCCATATTCTTTCCTCCAAGTCGGCCAGAACGAACGAGCAAGGTGAATGTCCCGATCACCGATACCCTAGGGAAAATCTCATTCCTCAATGTTCCACGATACTTCGCTTACGAGTAGCTTCCTTCGATTTTTGTTTCTTTTAACATTCACATTATCGCCGTTAATATGTAAAATTTAAAAGAAGGTTGTACGATAGGCGACAATTAGCGACCTCCCTCAACGCGTGCGTCACGTTTTTTCCATAAATATTGAAAAAAGTAAATGAGAACGTTCTTGTTACCGTAGCTCTGGTTATCGGCGCGTTTAAGTAATCGCGGGTATTTTGCATTATCGCGACTAGTTCGATACACCGGTAACTAGGTTTGTCACTTACAGGTGCATGGTCGATTGGCAGGACATTCACCTTGAGCGCAAGAAAATCGTCCAGCATTCGCGGTGGAAGTGAATTTGCCGGTAAATATCGAGAATTTCAAATTTGGCGCCCAACTATGGCGGCAACTGGTGTCGCGCGCTGATTGGCGGGCGCGGTAAAAGGGCCGCGCATGCGCAGACCTTCTGGGCTTTCATCATGGTTGACATCGCTCGTGTCCGCCTGGCCGACCTGCGCAGGCGCCGTAAACCGGGTCAAAGTTGTGCCAACCACTGAATAAAAAACTCAAGAAAGAGCGCATTCTCGAAAATGACGAGCACAGGACAACCCATCCGTAATGTCTAACGTAACAAACGTTTTCCCGTTACTTCTGGGTCTAATTACGTTATGAAAGATAATATGACGTCGGCATAGACTCTCGTTCACCAACTGCACGAAAAAAAAAAAGTCACGGTTGATAATCACTGGACAGCGGTTTTCGGAACACGGCCGCATTCGCGTGAGAATATTTTAAACTTCGCGCCATTGGCGGCTGCACTCTACTGCATGCAGCGTGCATTATTGCAAGAAACATTTTACCGTCTCCGCGGCGATACGAAGTCGCGACTTTAAGTTTTTAATTTGCCGTTCCCGGCGATAAATTTATTTTCTGGAATTTATTTATCAATCGAGGTCAGGTGAATTTTTCCGCGCGCACATTGAATGGGTAGAATCGGATTCTAAGAAAATATAATAATTGCTTATTAGGATTTGAAGCAAAGTCTTTTGAATATTGTATATGAACGTGTCGTATGACTCTTGGGTATGCTGAATATTTTTAAAATTTTGAAAATCCAGTTATTAAACGTCTCGTGATATTTTTCGTCCCTCCCGTAGCGGCTCTTTCTCTAAGTCTACGATTTCGAAAACGACACTTAAGATTCGCGTCGCTCTAATAAACCTTTCCAAGATTTTCCGCAGGCCTCGAAATTCCCGAAGAATCCCCACGAGCCCTTCGAAAAAATGGCGCGACAAAAACTGTTGAAACCGTGGAAACTATTGACCCAACGGTTCCAAACAAAAAGTGACCCGAATGGCTCGCACCAGTGACCCAATAATCCATCAAACGGATCGGCTCTTATTTCGCGGTTTCACCATTTTCACCGTTTACCCTCTAGGCGATATGGACTGTACTATTCCCCCAATACCGTTCCACCAGTTAATTAGTTCCAATCAACAATTCCCCCTCGAAACTCGGCATGGAAATACCCCCAGAAAATCCCTCAACAATTCCCCTCGTTTTTCCCCCATATTTCCGCAATTTCTCCCGGAGTATCTTCCGAAAAAACTAAACCATCTATTCGACAGATCCTGCCGCCATGTTGCAAATCAGTCCACCAACAAATCAGGCACCGCATTAACCACACCAATCGTTCGGTTCGATCTCCGGAGGCTTTGCGTGTCCCTCTTAATTCCCATATTCCGAGTCGATTATCGAGGACGGTGGAAATCTGCAATTGGTCGATATCCGTCGGTAAAACAGAGCCCCGATATCGCCTTAATATTCAAGGAGGGCACATAGAGCCGCGCTATCTTCACGCACCCCTGCATACACGTTACACGCGTCTGCGTACGTACCTGTCGATACGTTTGCACGTACACGAACGCATTCGAGGGAACAGCGATCCGAAAGAATCATAAATTGGCGTAAAAATTCTTAATCGAAATAAATGCACGCACAGAAAAGGGTAAACGGGGAAGGGACGCGTCGGTGTGCACGCATATACGAGCAAGCGGACGTATAGATCCGGCTGTGTGCGCGATGCGTCGCACCGGTGTGCACTCCGTCTCCCTCTCGCGCTCTCTCGTTCTCCCCTCCTAGTCCCTCGTCCTCTCTCTCTTTCTCCCGCACAGATGCGCACCGTGCACCTGTCACATCAAGAGCATCGAGCAGGTGTTCTACACGTCTATTTTAAAGTAATCGATATACCAACACTACGACTACCGGTGGCGGTTCCCTTCCTTCCCACGGCACTCTCTGTCTCCCTCTATATCTATCTCTCTCCCTCTCTTATCCGTCTACGAAAGAACCCATGCAGCGGTTTGAACGGTCGCGGTGCACGGAATAACGCGAACTTATGGGAGAATTACTAAAGTCGAGGCTGCCGGCGGCCGAAACGATAAGTCTACCATAGAGGGTGTACGAGTCGGAACGAATGGTTACATAAGGGCCGCGAGAACGACACACCTGGTGCGCAGGTTGCCGGTAGACTGACGGGACGGGATGGGACCCGGCTGCGAGCGTAGAGACTAGTGGGTAGTGACCGGGGTTGCTCCGTATGCGCCGACGTGCGCGGTGCACTGCGAGCGCGAACGCTCCGCTCTACTCCGCGCCGCGAGCTCTCTCCCTCCCGCCTCCGCGCCGCGCGCTCCCTCTCTCTCCCTCCCCCCTGCCAGCCGTTCCGCTCCGCTCCGCGGCGCGGCGCGGTAGTTGCGCTACCTACACAGCCGACGCTCACCTGACGCCGCTCGGCTCTCCGAGGCTCTACCGAGCCGATACTTCTCTAATCATTCGACAATCGGTCTGGGCGCGTTTTCGCTTCCGTGGGGTATTCTTAGTTCCCTTTGGGGACACGAAATCAATATTTTTCAGAACGGCGAGCGGATCGAGTGGTACGGCATTACGAGTCGTTAAACGCCGCGTTGTTTATGCAAGTAGCCGCGATGCTCCGCCGAGGATATACTTCTCCGTAATGATAAATAGGTCCTAATTAACGACTTTTAGGGCTTGTTTCGTGGCATTGTCGGTTAAGAGGTGGGTAGAACTCGGATATTGAGATGAGGAGAATGGGAGACAAGGAGATGGAGGAGGGGTAATTCGAGTAGCTACTTTGTCGCGAATATTCACGGGTACTGCTACTCTGGATAAGTCTACTCTATTCTGCTTAGATGTACTTTTCATGTATCCAGAATTACGGAGAATGATGACAATGATTGCTTCTGTCACGGTTATTGTTATTCTTAGTTATTTTGTACCTTTGTACAGTTAAGGTATCGATGAGCCGGTAAACGGTCATTCCGATCGTTTTCTATCACGGAACAAAATTCGCGTTGCGTAAGACGCGTTTGCGGGTGTACTCGGCAAATTGGTATGTTTATTGCCGTGCGATCGTTATGCAAATTGCACCTTGTTTCCGCGATAATTGTATACCGCAAAAAGGGGGAGTGACATCCATGGCTTTGCCGAAACCGGCGAACCATTTCACCGGTCGTTTCCTAACCGAGCTTCGACGTGTTTCGCTCCGTCCGTTGTATATCCGAACAAAAAATGGCGTTCCGAGTAATGCTCTAAAACTAGATGCAAGTACCCTTTTTGCCCTGTCGGGGCACTCAATGAAATAACTGTCGTACCGACAAACTCCGCAATGTAGAGGCCTCAAACACCGAGAGGCCTCGGATAATGGTCAGTAGAAAGCAAGAAAGAGAGTGGAATTGAAAAATTCGATAATATACTTTTTCGCCCGGTAATATTCCATTTTTTCCCCTCTTTCTTAATAAACCGTACCACGGAGTTTCCGTTTGAAATTTTAATCGTGAAAGAGTGAATTCATTACCAGGTACTTCAGGGATGGTGAGTGCGAACGCTCCAGTTACGCCACTGCTTAATACCCTACAGTAGTAACGCCACCTATACATCTTGTACTCACTTGAATTATTTATTGCGCAGAATTTCCATATCGTTGGAAGAAACAAACCCAGTCGGTAATGATCCATCCCGCAATCAACATTTAATTTCGCCGGCCATTCGAATCCCACGCGCCCATTGGCGTCCGTTCGATATATTCTACAAAATACAAAATGGACGCACGAGTTTGAACGGAATTAAGTGAACGGGGAAAGAAAATAGAATACTTGCAACCCGGACAAATGTAATCGCGAGATTAGGAGGAAAGGATATTCGCTGTAATTAAACAATGCTGTACGAGGGAATATGTGACATTTCAATCGCATATAAGTTACAAACATGGAAATAACATACATATTAAACGGAAAAGAGATGATACATCGACCAGTGGTAAGTTATATTCATCAGATATGAGTTGGGAGATTGCTTACGGGCAGGATCGTGCGATCGCATCCTGTGCTGCCCTCTGGTTTCGTACGTCAGCTTTCGCCGACTCTCCGCATACTCGTCAGTGTAGCGCCGAACGCACACATACTCAACGTCTCGACCCGTAGCTTGGCGCTTGGCTGGTTGAGACACGCTAAAATTTCTAGGAGCGATCGCACTCACACAGATTCGCTGCATGAGGGTTCCGTACGCGACACCGACGCGTACCCCAAAGCTCCGCATCACGTCGACTTCGAGGCAACAATGTACTTAATAGTAGTAGATAAGTAAAGTCAAATGGAGGTTCACGAGTGTTCTTCCCTTACCATCAAAAGCGAGCAATGTCGGTATGCGTAGGTAAGCCACCACCGTCAACTGCCGCATGGTATTACCATCACGAGTACGTGAGCCGCCAACGGCGACTGGTAGATGGTACCGCCATCGCGAGTGCGCGAGCCCCTACCAGAAATTCGTTGCGCCGCCTTTGGGAACAAAACACGGTGAAAGCTAACATACGAAACCAGAGGGCAGCGCAGGAGCAATTGCGCGACCCTGCCCGTGAGCAATCTCCGAACTCATCTCTGGTTATATCCATTCGTGTATTGGCATCTTCTGTAAAAACGAAAAGTAGCTTGCTCATGTAGTGTGGCGCCATTTGACATACATAAGTAGAAGTTTGTATACTTTAGTCGATACCGCACTGAACTTTTCATCCAAGAAGAACACCCGTGGCGCCATCTCGCCGTCGCGGCCCATATTGCAGTTATTTTTAAATAAGAGTACATTAAAAAAAAACCTACAACCGGGAAGTCATTTAAAATTGTCAGCTGTTGTAAGCATGACCTTACTTATCATTTTGAGTTTAAAAGTGATACTTGCGCAAACATGGCTAAAACCACGTTCGTAGTGGCAAATCAAAAAAGTTCGTCAACCATAATCGAAGAGGCACTAATGGCAGCATGCTCGGGAATTTGACTATTTCTCTTACGTCGCTAACATTCAAACAATGAAACGCAAATTGTTCGATAAAAGTACCAAGGCATCTCCAGGTTATAAGTTTATACGTGCGTGGAATAAAATGTATCGAATCGAATGTCTTACGAAATGTTATGTTCGTTTTATATACAGATACGAGACAATTCCAAATTAATCTAGTACTGACATTTGAATGAGAAATGTAACATCAATTTCTAAGAGATATGCCGTGTACCATTTGCATACGACAGCTTGGATGGGGAAACTGGTAACACATTTTCAAAGTTTTATTATTGATTTATTATCGAATGCCTCCAGGAGGTGCGAACAGTCGTTCCAGAGCATTGCCGTTAGTCTTGTATGGATCTCATCATAAATAAAGGTCGGAACTTAGTCGGTTAGACTTAAGTTATCGTACATTCGGGGTTTGTACAGCTTTGCTTCTATTCTTGCAGTTCGATTCATCGGTCTGGTCGCATCAGAGAAGCGTTGCTCGTAATATCTCCCGTCGATCGTAAACCGTAACAAAAAACTGAGGCACAAAAGGCACAGGTCTTACTTCAAATAACATCGGTAAACTTTTCCCCCTCTTTTTTTTTCTCTTTTTCTTTTTTTGGTTTTTACTTCGTACGAGATACAGTTTCAAGTATGCGCGGAACGTTCAGACCTCCACTCATACTTTTCAAACCAACAATCGGCAGCAATTGCAGACGAAGCGAGGACGAAACAAGGCGTTAAGAAACTTGCATACAAAAATGTTACTTCTCTCAAACAATAGAGTATCGCCTGCGAAATGAATTAAGCCCTGTAACTAACCCACGTAATTTCTTTTTTATACACAGCGCATTACACGTGATCGATGATACTTGTATAAGAAGTACTGGATGATTAAAATCTGAATAGTTATGGCCCGAAAATAATTTCATTGGAACGATAACACCGTAAAGGTGGTACCGACAAGTTGTATCGTTACTTTTCGCGATGTACAGGATGATTCTTCTAAAGTAACTTTCTTTTCTTCGTTTAAACAATTTTGTCGATCGATGAGACCTGGTACGACGTTTAACTAAATTAAACTTTCAGATACGGTGCGGATGGATGGTAAAGAATACTGCATAAGAAGTACTCGGTTAAATAGATGTCGTAAATCACGTATAGAATCTTCCTGAAGGAAGAAATTATTCTAACAATTAAAAGAATATCTAGCTCTTCGATTGCTCAAATAACTTCTTTTTATTACACTACTTTTAATCATTGGCATAAATTAAAATATAGGTGTCCCTTGCTTTTCTCTTAATGCCACTTTTATAAATAATAGTTTATTAAAAGATTTCAGGTACCAGAGCCCTACAGAGCCACTTTCGGACTTAACGAGTCATACTCTCTTTGCTTTCGCTGTTGTTGAATTTTTATAAAAAGTACTGTAATATAAATAATGGCTTGGACGGTGAGGGGCAATTGAAAAGAAAATAACTGAATAAATAAGTTATTCTTCGCCTATCCCTGGCCAGTACTTAAGTTAAAATTTAAAACCAAGAATGTGCCTTTACATAATGAATTCCAATAAAGCCGGGTACGGCATTAAAATCACCGAAGAAACCGACTGGTAGATTAAACTGATCTACGCGGTCGTAAAATAAGGAAAGGCATGTTAATATTCGACGGAACAGCTAAAATTGTTGCTTTTCATGACAAGTATTGTTTCTCTAGGGAAAGAAAATTAGTGACGGTAGCTCTGAAACTGATCGCGAGTGGCTCTATTTAGCACGGGTACCTTATATTGTAACGACCTGCGAAAATTCTCTGTTGAAGACGTCACATTCAAACTAAGTTACAGCGAAAGATAAACCTAAGGCTAGTCGTTTAAAAATAATAAATATCCTTAGAGTTGGTGCACACAGCAATTACTCACACCGTGGGAAGTATAAGACGTGTAATTTGATAACGCTTCAAATGATTTAAGATCCTACGACGTAGGTAACGAAAATGAATACCTATCCTACGTACACAATTGGCTGGTTTTCTATTTTCATTTTTTTTTTCTTTTCCAATCACTCATTGGTTTGTATACGTGACATTTTCAACAAGGTATTTATATTGCGTGGCACACTATCACAAAACACTCGTTAACAAAGTATTTTAAACAAATACTTTCCCATGCCGAACGACCTCGTCTCGTACCCCCTCGTACGGAGACGAGAAAAAAAGGACGAATAAAAACGAAAAGAAACGATTAAGTAATGGTAACCGAAATTTAGCAGAAACATCGAGTGGCTCTCATGACTTTATACACGACGGATACAAAATATACAAAGGCAAAGTGGAATAACAGTCTTGATTAAGTGTTGTCGATAATGTACACTTTTGTACCGTTGCCACGATACTGCTTGGCAAACAAGAAGATCCTGTAACCGGCGACGAGTCTAATGGCATAATCTAATCGTCCCTTTTCCTCCGATACAAAGCTAAACACCGATTGTTCCCCGACAAGTCACTCGTTTACGTCACGCTCATGGACGTATAATATATGGACCGGTCACTCCCTATACTTGAATATGGCTCCGAATGGGTCTAACGGAACGACGAGAGAACGAGAACATTGACGATCGGGTCTACGCTTGTATGTGCAACAGGAGTGCGCAGTGAAGTAATTTGCGCATGTCAATATGTATATTGCTGTCAATCAACTGTCAAGAACTTACTGCGCATGCGACCAGTGCAGAGAAGCGTAGCTTCGATTACCATAGTTCTCTTTTTCTCACCGTTCCGTGTGCGGTCCATATATTATACATACATGGGTCACGCTACTGGCTCTCAAAATTGTCATTTTTTTTCTTTCAAAAAAATCGACAAAAATATCTATTTGCTGTACCAAAAATGTAAGGAGAGTAGAAGACCCTCTCGCTTCCCTTAATTCGCGACAATATCCGAAAAGCGTGCCAGTCGTGCGATAACTTCCTCGTATCGTTTGACTAAAGGTACACACCTCTTTTACCTGGTCGATCCACCCTTACGAGGGTGCTTTTAACATTTCCGAAAATTAATTCATTAAACAACAATTTTTTAAATCGTTTACAAAACATCCCCGGAAGGCTGTTATTCCATCCATGCATTGAGTACTATCTCATGGCGCATGTATCGCAACAAGGAATATCAGGGATTGCTTGGAAAAAAAAAAAATTAATAACGCCAAAGAGCACTGATAAGAGCAGATCTGGCTGCATAAATTTGGGCAAGAGAGCACCCCTCGAGACTGAACGACCGGAGGCCGTGGCCTTGGAAGAATACACGAATGCCGATTGTACAAATTGCGAATGCTTTTATTGTTCGTGGAACAATCATTAATAGACATTAACGTCTCTCTCCCTCTCTTCCTCTTTCTCTCTCTCCCACGCACGCTTTACTCTCTCTTTCTCTCTCTCTCTCCGTGATAAACTCGCACTCGACGCGACACGACGGATCGTCCTTCGCTCGTCCCAAGCAAAACTGTACCAAAATAATTTCACTAGCCGGAGACTCGTATCAGTCTTTCGTGTACATCGGAGATAAAAATGTACGTATCGACATAATATATACCCAGCCGTTGGCGCGCACGGAGGGGAAACGATGACAGATGAGTGCAGGCTCCTGTTTCGGACAGCGCGATGGTCTCGGTGTTCATTTTACAATTTTTTCTCTTTTCTCTCTCTATTTTCCTTTTTCCCATTGCTTTGCGAGGACTCGAGGATTCGGTCTCGGTTATTCAGGACTGACGGCGGGCGCATGCGCGGATGCAACGCTCGGGGTACGGTAGTTCCGAAGGGTGCACCGGGAAGGACCGACCCCCGACCGGACTACGATGACGTTGTTCCTTCCCCAGGAAGCTAAAATCAACGAGTACACGTATCCTAATGTATCAGCGAGAAGTGATTCCACATGACAGCCCCATTCGCGGCGATAATTCCACCTTAACTCCAAGGAGTAAGAAGAACGACCGCGAGGAACTGCCATAGGCGTGTTAAGGTGATACGAAAGTGGCGTCAAGGAGGTCTCATTTATGAAACTTTTCTCCGAATTAGGTGTACCGAATCGTTTCAAGCTTTACAACGTGAACATGGAGGCTACAACTAAGGGTCCGAACCCCCATGACATTTCAATTCTTTAAGAATTTATGGACATTAACATTTTTTTTCTTTTTTTTTCCTTCAAATAAAACATGAAATTTCACGGGTGTCAGGACCATCCTTAGGGCCTGCGCGTTCACGTGGTAAAATATCGAGCAATTCGAGACAGTTGCAAAAAGGTACCATTGATCCATCGAATGCCACCTTCCTATCGTCTTAAGTGTAATCGGCATCTATCAGTTTGGTTTTCTCCGTTTCTTCGTCTATGGTTTAGAATTTCGTTTCGATTTCGCAGACAGCCGGCCCTCGGCGCATACCTCACGTGTAACTACCTCTAGGACGACCTGTAGCACACGCAATACCGTCCAGCTGCATAAACGTTGCACAAGTTTTACAGTCCACCGCGGAATGATATTGCGTCCGTTATGCGAATGATCAGCTACACGCAGCATCCACCATACGAAAGATATTACACATGAGCAGGGGTGGACACGCGGCGCCAGAGTACCCCAAGAAATCCCGATGCGGAAAAAAAGATCATTCGCGAAGAAATTCATTTTAACCGTAGCCTGATACGAAAGTTAAATTGCACGGAGATTAACGATTGTTCGCGTCAGAAACAAGGACCAGTCGCAAGCTCGAAGGGATCATCGGCAACGACAGGAGCAACCCATAAGGTATTATGAACTGAAGTACAAATTACGGATTGTTGCCCGCCGTGTTCGAGTACTCGACCATGAATATTCGCATTTCGTTCTCCCTCTCGATTTCGTCGAATTGCAGACAACAATAGATCCCTAAAAGATCCACGTTAAATGGTGCCTTGGACATTCATAAGGTCGCGAGAAACGTAATACAGCGAGCAGAATCAAAGCTTTGCCATATACATAATACTCTTACACGGTTAATAATGAGGTGAGAACTGATACCGAAATCAAGGGAAAGATAACGAATTCCGAGTCCTTTCTGCGCGTGTTCGGCTTGAGACCTCACGGTTTTATAAATATTTATATGTAAGTTACGTTTCAACCATATATGGACGTGTTATCGTTACGCGCTATAAAACTAATTGTCGTTTTCCCTTTTCTATGTACATAATACACTTCATTTCAATCTGTAACGGTTTTCTACGCTACGTTAAATGGCATTGTCTGCAATGTATGTCGAGATGATGGCAAAGCACGCGCAGAAAGTATACTGAACTCTCAGCAATATCGCGTAGTTGGACTCGCTTCTCGGAGGTCTGAAGATATAGAAGTATTACATACATGCGCTTTGTACACCTTACTGCACCTGTACCCACTATCGGTAACATTTTCAATGGGTTAATATGCGAGTATGAAGTTTCGATTGAGCACCTCGGGCAGTGTTTTGCAGCGCAACGTACCGGCCGCTTGGGAATTTCAAATGTCGGTAGAAAAATAAAAATTGTCCACCTGCTTTCCCATTAGCAGTTAGTTTCTCTCTCTTTTTTTTTCTCTTTTTTCTTTTTCTCGTTTTTTGACACATTCCTGACGTCGATTCCTAACCAGTTACAAGAGGAAACAACAATCGTTGCCGGATGTGTCCTAGGAAATTACGAAAGTTGAGCTGCTCGCGGAAAGATGGCGTCCGGTCACGGAGAACGACAATTTTACCCTTGAAAGGATGACTGGGCAACCGGTTTATGTTGTTCCAGTGGGTTGAATAAAATCTAGGAAAACTGACAGTCTTGTGTATCTCTCCAGCATAACCCGTCGTTATCGTTCGAGTCGCGAATCTGTTAACTATTTTCCCGGTACACGATCGACCTCTCGTGTGTCGCAGTTGTTCGACTGCGGCGACCCTTTGAAGAAAAGCGGTTAGTTTAAGAATGTCCGCTGCGTGGCGCTACTAACGATCCTCAAACGAAACTACATACTCGCTACAGGGAAACATTCAGCGCTACGACAGTCTTTTTCACTGTACCATACCAGCGTATAAATGCCTAGTGTAAAAACCATCGTTCAAAAGAATCAGAAATCGACATTTTACCCCACAAGTGTACCGAATTATCGAAATCCACCCGCGGAACACAATTCCAAGCTTCGACGCGTGTACATCCAGACCAGGCCAAGCTAACGAGTCGATCGTTTTTATCAGAGATCTAAAACTTAATAACAATTCAAACATATGCCACGAAGCAGACCGTAATGCCATCTTCTTTCGCTGTAAATCGCTGGTAGGGGTACGAAATGTCATTTCCTTTTGAAATTGCCTTAAACCGGACGCATCTCTCAGAGTGTAGAAACGATCCGCCCGGTGTCCGGGTATTCACGCTTCGAAGTTCCAGAAATCGAAGCGAATCGGTAAGCTCATCCGATAAAAAGAGTCACTTTCGAACCCACTTGACCTCCGGCAACAGAAGAAACACGGATCTCGCCAGTGCACGGCGATTCGGAAAGCGAAGTTAACGGCGGAAATCCGGTTACAGAGGTCCATGTTATCGGGCAGCCTTAAAAGAAGTAGTAACGCGGTAAACGCGACACGGCTCGCGGCAGACATTACGTCGTACAACTTGGCGACACCCATGACAATTACGTGCATACCCCCTTAACGCAGATTCGCGGTGCTCGCGCGTTTATCACTGTTCGGTGGCGTCACATCCACTCGCACTCTTTCGCTCACACACATTCTCGAGATCGCATTCGCTCCTCGTTCTCCTTTTTCTCTCCTCTCTGGCGATCACAATTTTACAAGTAATGCAACATTGTCTCTGCACGTTTCGCGTGGTTCCGCGGTACCAGTTTTAATTAATTAAGTAATTAAATAATCTGCCCCGCTGATTATCTCCTATCGTTGGTTAGCATCGAGGAGGGGGGTGTCCATCGGACAATAAGTAACCATCATAGCTAAGTGATCTGCAATAGCGATCGGGGAAACTACGGCGCTTCGATCGTAACCCCTTGAAAATTGAGTCTCGTTCGAATCCCGTCGAGATATGCAAGTCGATCGAGTCGAAAAGTTTTAAGGCAGAAGGTAGACGTCGCGCAGGAACACGCGGAGATCCTGAACTAGTTTTTTTTTTTTCTTTTCCAGACGGTAACTCGGCGACGACGATTAAGAGCGCGGCCACGGGCCGCGTTAGCTATTCGTTAAAATAGGACAACCAATTTTTCCGCCAGTGGCGCAAGCCCAGGCTTGCCGGCCACTCGCTGGAATTCGCTCGAGAGAAACCTCATGGAGACACGTGGTCCGTAAAAAAAGGTCCAAGTTTCATCACTGTTGCTGCTGTTGCTGCCGCCCTCGTCGGGGCCACGTTCGTGTAAAACGAATCGATCGCATGTCGGCGACAGCCTAACCGTTATCTTTGGCACTACCGTTACGTATTGTCCGAGGCCGGCCCCCGCGAATCGCATCGTTACGTCACTACCGACCGACAGTCGTTACTCCAGCAATTATTTATAGCAAGGCATGTTTCGTACTAAAATGTTCGTTCGAGACCCTATACTACATACTATATACACGACGTATTTGGAAAAAAAAAAAAAAACCTATGTCTAAACGAAGTTAACAAAATATTAGCCGTTCTCTCTTTCTCCGCCACCCTCGCGAGCGGGCATTGACTCGTCCTCGATGCAAAAGTTAAGTCGATCTAACCCCCCCCGGGGTATCGCCCAACGCGCACTCCTCCATTCTCGCTCGACGAGTCCTCGTTGTTTGGTAAAGCGACGCGGTCCCCACTCGGCATAAATAACAATACACGCGTAAACCGAGAACGCGTACAGAGAGAGGAAAAGGAAGAAGAACGGCGGCCAGCTGTGATCCGAAGGCTTTTTCGATAAATAAAAGGTGCCCTTCGATCGCCGATCGGCAGCCTCGAGTTCTCGCCCGGAGCCGTCCCCGGCAGCGCCGCGCATCCGCCTCGACGGTACCCACCGTGCGGCCTAACGTGTCCGCGCATACGCTCGAATAATATTAATCAAACTATAATTAGAATAATATTAACGATGAGGATGATGACGTTGACGATGGTGAACGGAGGATTACGGGGTTCGGGAGACGGCGACGCTGGTGAAACCGCTGGGCGCCGGTGACGATGTTAACGAGAATCACGAGGACGACGGCGACGTAGGTGGCGGCATCAACGACCAACGGGGGGTTTCCAAGCGGCCCCGAGGAGTCGGTCCGACGGTCGGTCGAGCGCGCCCAATAGTGGGTGGTCCCCGCGCGGAGCAGGAGGGAAATGATCAGAGTTACTAATCGATAATAACATAAGGCAATATGTGGAGGATCTGGCCGTTGTAGCTGGGTTTAGCCAGCATCTCGTGCCACTCCCGAAACTCCGTCTCCCCGTCAGCGCCCTCGGCCGTCCTAGCCGCGGGCGCGTCGCCGCCGTCCCCGGCGAGCCGAGTCAGGGAGGAGAGCTTCGGTTGGAAGTTCCCGTTGACGCCTTCTATGCGGTCCCTCTGTAACCTCTCGACGTCCTCGGGAGTGACTCGCCTGGGGGACCGCGCCGGCGCGGCCTTCCGCCGCTCGCCCTCGGCCCCCTCCTCCTCGGCGTCCTGCTCGTCGTCGCTCCACCGGATGGCACTCGGATCTAGGGGCGGCAGCTTGGCCAGGATCTCCTCGACCGTGAGCTCCTGCCTCGGAGAGGAGGGCCGCTTCCGTGCGGCGCCGTCGCCGCCCCCATCGTCGTCGTCCTCGTCTTCCTCCTCCTCCTCGTCATCGTCGTCGACGAGGATGACCTCCGGCTCGCCGCGGTACCTGGAGAAGGGCTGCGGCCTCCCAGCGAGGACGTTTTCGCTGGTACGCGACCGGGTGTGGGGCATCCCGGGCGCCGTGGCGCCTCTGGAGGCGGCGTTGGCCCGCGGCGTCTTTAGGTACTTGGTCACTTGCTGCTCGTCGCTGCCCCTCAGAATGTCCTCGATGCTGGGCGGCTCCTTGGTCTGACTAGGGGGCGCGTCCGTGCCCTGGCTCGCGGACGCCGCGGGCGTCGCGGCCGTCGCGGCTGCCGCCGCGGGCGTCGCGGAAGTCGCGGGCGTGGCCGGCGCCGCGTTCGAGCCCCGCGCCTGCAGGTCGGCCAGCAGTTCCTGGGTCGTCTTGAGCTTCGGGTTCCGCGATATGCTGGCCAGCTTCTCCTTGACCCGGTCCTCGAGGAGGGGCTGCTTTTTGAGGGACTTGCTGCCCTTCTTGCGGCCGCGCTTCTTCGGGCCCGGCAGCTCATCTTCGGCCGGCGGGCTGGCCCGGGCGTCCCGGCTCTCCCGGGCCGGATGCTCGCCGACGGACCCGCTCCCGAGAAGCTCTTTCGTCGCCGGACTAGGCACTTGCGAATTAAAGCTGCCGGCGTTGCCGGTCGCGCTCTCGCCGTTGAGGCGCTGCTTCTTGGCGGCTGGCTCGGCGCACTCATTCATCGAGCTGGAGTGATGTTTCTGCTGGTGTTGCTGCCGGTGGACTTGCCGGTGGGGTTGCTGAGGCGGCTGGTACTCGGACTCGTCTTTTCGGAGTCGCTTGTTCGAGCTGTGGGTTCGCGGTACCGCCTCCGTCGTGTGGTTCTGACACGACGGCCTCAACTTCGGAGATTCCTCGGTGGTTAGCCTGTGGTTGGTCAGCGTTGTCATCGTCGGCTTCGTGGGGGTAGCATTCGGCGAGCGCGACCGGTCACTGTGCACCGACAGGGTCGGACTTAGGACCTGCGGACACACGCGCCCGTTTATTTCACGGACAATGTCTTTCGACCAGGCTTATTTAAAGTACCTCCAGCATGGTCGTTCGTTTAGGATGGACCAGGCCAATGACTTATGTACTTGATTTCGTTAAAATTTGACTCGATTACCTTAGTCGACTTTTGAATATCTATCTAAATGTTTATCTCACGGTCGAACGACTCTTAAGACGCATGTCAGTAACCTAAGATTTAGGGTCCTTCAACATTACCTAATGTCACGAATATGAAACATTTGGAACAGAAATGCTTCGCTTACTATGGTACGTCGAAAGGAGAAGATAGGGTGATTGTCGCGCTTATTTTTCTTATATACCATGAATCCTAGTATTTTATAAATATTGAACACTTTCAAACTGTTACTTACTTTTACTCTCTTGTATTGGTTGTTTTTTTTAAATTCCCTGGTTATCAAACACGCCCATAAAATGTGTGTAAGCTGTTACGTACTTGTAACGGTGTTGCATCCCGCAACAATGGGCTCTGAGGTTTCAGTCCCTTCAACGAAGGGCTCTGTGGCCTCAGACCCCTCAGCGCAGGACTCTGGGGTTTCGCTCCATTAAGGGCCGGTGGTGCCGTATCAGCTGGTGTGGGCTGCGGTGTGGAGTGGGCCGATGGTAGAACCATGTCTCTCCATCGGCGTACCAAGTCTTTCGCTCGTTTAGCCAGAGCATCGTTGCTTGTTTTTCTGCGTAGCTCGTTGATATACTTGCCAAGCCTTGTAACCTATTAGATTAAAGATATTATATCATTACTTCAAATATATTAACAATAATATCCTACATTTTCTAATTGCATTGTATTGCGAGTCTCATTTTAGACACATTCGTACATTTCTAACCTATAAACACATATAGCATGAAAATATGTATGAATTGCTGTAAGTACACATGAGTTAATTTTACTTATGTACTTCCTTTTGAGAAAGAAATATAATGTATTAATTAGTTATAATAAAACAATGACTTATTATAAATTAGGTCTGAATCATGTTTAATGAACAAAATATGGCAAACGTGTACAGAGTTTGAAAAACAACCTAAAAATGCATCAACTTAAGACCATGTGGTGTTACATATTTTATGTTCCTAATCCTTTGAAACTCACTGGCGTATAACAGGTAATGCTTTTTTTAAATGAACTAGCAATTCAAGTTTAAATCTAAATAAATGAAGCTTCTATGTTTTATAGATTACTTAGTCTATATTCTTTCTAACCTAAATGACCTAAATAATATACGCTATACATATCCTTTCTTCTGGCATAAAATAGAAATTGTTATGACATGGTATATTCTATCTCTTGAATTAAACGAAAAGATCAAGAATTAAATATATTCTAAATATTTGTATTATAACCTCTATTTCACTACAAGTTTCTTCAAAAATAAACAGGTAGATTTAACATGCATTTAGTTAACATAGATTGTTAGAAACACACATGAGATATTCTGTAACTAAAGCCTGCATCATTGAGAAAATATTTGTGCTTGTGCAATAATATTCCGTTCTATTTGAATGGGCAAAATATGACTTTGTTCCATTCCAATATTTCAGAGATTTAATGGAAGTACTTAATAAGAAAAGGCAACTTTTTTTTACCTCAAGCACCTCTTTGGTGATTGTCGTCTTCTCCAGGGCCGTGATGACATCCACAACAGCTCCCATGTCAATGACCTAGATAAAAAGGGCAAAAGCTATTAATGAGAGATTCTGACGATATTTTGTTTACATTGACACATAATAAACGAAGAAGTCACAATTACGTAAGAATACATTGGACAAAAAAAATTAAAGGAATCACGTTCATGGAAAACTTTAATGATTAGCTAACTTTTTAATAACAGTAACTTCATCGTAAGATCAAGTTCTCTCTGACAAGTTAATGAAAAGGGACTGAAAATAGTGTAATGAAAATAATGCATAAATAAAAATTATGATTTGTAATTAAATGACAAAGTCAGTTTAACGTTGATTTAAGAATCATGTTCCTTGACACGTTAGGTATCTATGTATATCACAATTGATGTCACACTCAAAGACTGCGTAATAATAGATTTATTAAGCAGAACTTTTACCATGGGTGAGCTGGTTCAATATATGAAAAGGATTACACTTATGAATATTATATACTAATTTAGTAATATATTATTGGTTAAGTTTCCCTAATACTACAAAATCAATTATTTTCAAGAAAAAAAAAAGTGACAAATCTGATACTATTCTTTACAAGAATTATTAGTTACATAATAGTGTACTAATGAAGTAAAATGACTTTTGCAAAGAGACTTAATAACCAAACTCCAGAAATATACTTTTAAATCGATGTTAATTTCAGGCCCAAAGGAACGATCCCACCACATTTTACAAATTATTTTATTGATAGATTACCTTTCTCTACTTGTTCTTCTTGACATTGAAAGGACATTCTAAAATGTATTAATTTGCATATTGCTTCCTAATCGACTGCAGCTATATGCATGAAATGAAATTTATAATTCTTTCTAGGTTAAAGTTACAAAATTATACAATATACTGGGAATAAATTATTCATTTAGTACTACAACTTAAAGAAGTTTTATTCCATCTCAACTACAGGGCAACTGGTATAATATTGTGAAAGTATAAAATATAAATATATAAAAGACCCTATTTTTCCCGGGCTTAGTGAATACTACTTTGGTATTACATAATGTAACTATTATAATTGATTTTCAGGAAAATAATAACTGAATACAAGAAGTTTCAGGACTACTTCTTACTAAAATAAATAGAAGCAATAACGTTCCATCCTAAATACTAACGACGGTTACTACCTAGTTGACTAGATTCACGATGAAACTCTGGAATATTGATTCGCACGTAGCCCAGATATTTTTACTATTTTTTCACGAATCGAATCACTATGAATTTCCATTGCACCAACTTATGTTTAAGGAAAGATTCTATTAAATATTACTACATGCATTCACCGAGTTCGAAATTACAGAGTACATCAATTAATCATCTTATACGTAGTCTCAAATAATCCACGCATACCCTTGTTTGCATCATTCAATGGCTATGAAACGAGAACCCTATAGCTAAAATAGAAACTGCATAAATTCAAGATATTTTGGGAGGTTTACTAAAATGCTTTTGCTCTTGAAAAATCCTTGTAGGAATGCACAAGGAAACTGGCATTTTTCACCGGCACGTCAGCAGGAAGGGACAAACAAATTTAAGGAAAACGATACAGTAGGGTTACCGAATATATCGCATGCATTTTAGACGATCCAACCAAATCCATTTGGAAAAGATGTAGAACACCAGAACCGACTCTCAACTAATGGCAGAACATAAAATAGTTACTTAATATTTCTAAGGTAAATAAGTTGAACGATGAATTCATTAAGGAATCTCAAACACTGCCTGTTGCTAAGCGAAGACTTCTCTAAACCAGCCACAAGAAAGCCCTAAAAGCAACCCAAATTTAAGACTCTGAAACTCAAAGTACAAAACAAACAAACAAAATATAAGATCGAAGCTATCTAACTCAAATCGAAAGTATGTCAATCGTTAATCCGATTAGAAATCTTCAATAAGCCATCGCTTCTCTATGAGTTTTACATTGCTACGTAAAACCAAAATCCCAGCAGGTAAAGCTGAAATCAGAATAAATTAAAGTCATTCTAAAGCAAATACTAGGAGGTTATCAATTGCCAGATGCAATCACCATGATTTTTATTTCAGCAGGGCAAGAAGAAAAGACCAACACCGCGCGAGAACATCGGAAGAAGAATTCGATTCGGAGCCTCTGAAAGGTCATGCTCTCGGAAAGGCCGAGAAGGCTACATCTGGAAAGACGAGGTGGCATACTTTAGGGCCGACCGGAACCCGAGAGAAGGCTCGGTCGTCCTCAAGGAAAATTGGTACAGGGTTCAAACGTCGACCCAACGAATCCCTGCCACGCTTCGAACGAAGCTAATTGGGAATTTCCGAAAGAAGGCGAGCACCTGAACGGCCCAGTAGCTGAGGAACGAAAGGGTCGAGTTTGAGGTTATGCCTCAGGGCGGTCGCCCGCGTGGCTCGTCTCGGAGGAGTCTCGGGGAGAGAGAGAGAGAGAGAGAATCAGCGCTCGGCCAGTCGACGAGGGGTACGTTGGGCATGCACACACGTTCACCCAGGAGGTGGCCCGCGCGCCCGGGCGTGTACGCACGTACGCCCGCACGCACGTACACCGGGAGCGGATCCGGTAAGTGTTCTCGGCGGGCTAGTGGGAAGGCAGGCGAACAGGCAGCAGGCAGGCAGGCGGAGAGACGGGATGCACGCACGCACACAGACGAGCGCGCGAGTCACCGAGGAAGAGAGAAAGAGAGAGAGAGACAGAGAACGCGCGCGGCCAGCACCGCCTCGCACTCTCTCTCTCTTCCTCGCTCTCTCTCTCTCGCTCTTGTTCTGGCACTGGTACGGGCACACGGAGGAGGAGGATGGCAGGGCCGAGAGTGGCCCGATAGCCGTTTGCGCGAGCGGATGGACGGCGCACCGCGGTTTCTCTCCGCTACTTACATTGTACTCCTTGTCAAGGGATTTCAACAATCTTTCGGTGAGCTCGGTACAATATCTCTGCATCGGGCGGGCACGCTCGGAGCCCTCGCGAGGAGCTTAGGTTAGCGTAAAATCGGCTCCACGCAAGCGGGTGTCGCGAATGCGAGAGCGCGGCGGGCCTGCAATGGCGGCGACTGAACTGTGCTCCGTTCGCATGCCCTCCCTGCCTCCCGAGTGCCTCCGAGTCGCCGTACGTCCATCGTCCCTGGCCCCACACCGCCCCGTGTAGCCAGACGAGCGCTACTAGCTCCTCTCGCGGCCGAACCGAGTGCCGAGCGCTCCGACCCTCCCCCCGCGACCCGCGCGCGCCCGACTCGGCCGCCTTCGAGCCCCCTCGGCGAGCCTCGGCCGTCTCCGCCGCCCGTCGTCCTTCTCCGTCGGCGCTCAGTTCTACCCCCACCACCGCTCCGACTTCCCACGAATGCGCGTCACGTTGGCGGCGCCTGCCCCCTCCACTCGGGTTTCATCCCCGCCGGACGGCTCGCGAGCCGGCAGCGCCGCGTGCCGACCGCGCCGGCACTCGGCGACCGCGACTGTCCGCGCCGCCAGTGCGTAGTATTCCGTGCGCTCGCCCAACGACCAATAGGATACCGATACCGTTACTTCCGTCACCGAAAGAGGGAAATTCGAATCGCCCGATCGATCGCCTTCCCCGCTACAAGGTTCTTTTCCTCCTAGTGCCACCGTTTCAGTTAATCGAAAGGGTTACCATCGACTACCTTTGGGGACTCTAAACCGTAATTGTAGAACATTTCCATACGCAGTAGTTGCGAATGATCCACTTAATACGAAATTAGAATAAACCTAAAAAGTACACGCTCGGGGTTCTTAACCGTGACCGTAAGCCCGGCGTGGCACAGATTTCAAGGATTTCTGTAAACTATTTTTTTGTTGTCTTTTTGGAAGCTGTTCCGTCATCTCTTCCGTCGATATGGGGTTATATATTGGTTCTAAAGCATCTCCGGGTTTAGAAATTTTTACGCACGTGTGAGCCTTACGTATACGGGAAAGGCATCTAACGCCTCGTGAGATTCCGTTACTTTAGCGATATGCACGATGCACTCGTGAAATTCTCAAAAGTGCATCCCAGGCGGGACCCACCTGGCGTACGTGCATCGCGGCCGACCAATCGCGGATCGGGCGGGCCGAGCAGTCGCGCCAGATCATTATCTTCCCGGGGAGCAAATGGTCATCTCGCGCGGCCACCGACGACTCGTCAGATTGGAAAGCTCCGTCGATGCCACGGGAGAGCGTCTGCTTCAAGGTCGGCAGAACGCGTTTCGAAATTCTGACCGATCCCCGGGAGCTGCCCAAACGTCCCTGGCGAGGAAAACGGGGAAACGTGGATACCCGACGAGTCCAGACCAGTTAAGACGTCGAAACTCGGAAAGGTCGTGCGTTGAAAATCCGTAAAGTGATATTCCCCATTTAGTGCCACGAGGGCAAATTTCGAAAATTCGCCTGGCCTTTTAAAACGAGGCGCTGAATTACAAAGGATTGTAAAGGAATGAAATAGACGAGATAACGTTCTCCTTGAGCCTAATCGCCACTCTACTTCGTATTTTTAGAGTTATTACATTTTTTTTGTTTCATTGAGAAAAAAAATCGATTTTGGAGAGCGGTGGATTTTTTAAATCGAGGGATGGGAGGAAGGTCGAAGGGGGTGGATACGATCGCTGGGCGAGGGAGATTCATTGACCGGAAACGGGAGATCGAGGAACGTCGTAACGAGTCGGGGTTACGATCGGTCTGTAGATAATACCTAGATAATTCGCCGTCCGACATCTTGGTGAGTCGCTGATCGACGAAGCTACGCCGTCGAGCGCGCCGTTCGCTGTAGAAGCCTCGTGCTCGTTACCGAGCTCCTGGAGGGCACTTTCCTGGCATCGAGGATGACTGTCCCCGAAACCTACCTCGACGGGTAGTCTCGCGACGGGTCGTGCACTCGAGTCGCGAGAATTTTTTCCACGGTAATCTCGAGGAAAATCCGAGGTCCCGTGACGTCACAGCGACTTTCTCGCACGTTCGACACGACTTCCAAAATGGCGGCGAAGCACCTCGCGGACGCGATGGGAGCGGGAAAAACCGGGAATGGATGATGACGCGCCGCGTGGACGGCCCCGATTATAAGGCCCGGAACCCGCGAATCGCGAGGGCACCTCGTTTCTCTCCAGTCCCGCAGAAAATACGAGACTTCGTGACGTCAGGGTATTTTTCGCCCGTACTCCGCGCAACGTGGACGCGAAACGGGATCTTCCAAGATGGCGGCGACTCGGCGGTCCCAGATGGCGAGTAGGTGGTTCTAGGACGTTTTCGGGGCGGGTGCGAAAACCGTGCTAGGATGCTCACGCACTTGGAGAAGCTTCTTGATGGCGAACCTCGGTATCCGGAGGCTTCGCGAATGATCGGCGCGTCCTTGGCGGGCGAATGGACGCGCAAATAACCTGTCGCGGCGAATCGAATCGAACCCCGGGCGACGCGCAAACGGGGCGACGTGACGCGACAAGGTTAGGGCGCCACTGGGAAATCGATACGCGCACTGATGGCTCGCGACTCTTCGCTCCGCCTCGGTCACGCGGCACTCGCGCGCTTTTCTCGGCACACCCGCTTGGCCTTAGCACTCGAGGCGATGGACTTTTACGGAACTGCCCCCCCAGTAATTAAATAATTTTCCTAAAGATTTGGCAGGTCGCAGTGGCGGCTCACCAGACGAGAAACATGGCATCGCGCATCGCAGCCTCCGCCACAGTTCGCGCCGCCAAAGGGCGGAAAATCCTCTCGACCCGCGCTGCCCTTGTCCTCGTGAGTACATTTCGCGATTCACTTTCGTTCTCGGGCGTTTCCACCTCAATCGGTCTCTCGCAACGCGTCAAAGTCGAAATCCCTTCAAGGGCGTCCTGATATAACCTAGAGACATTAGTAGGATTCCAATTCCTAACGAGTCATGCGACTAGACCGTGCTGATATTTACGTACGGCGTGTCGTCGTAACCGCTGACCGATTATTTTTCTTTCGTCCTGATATTTTACAACGTGATTATGTAGATCTCTGTGGAATGGAAAGTAATCTAAGCAAAAGCAAAATTGCGTAATTTTTTTTTATATATTCCTAAAGCATCGAGCTTGTAATACGTACTAATAATGACTAAAATAATTGTATCGAGTGAAAGTTACACAAGATAAAAATGAATAAATGTTGTACGCATTTTGAAATTATTTTTTACAATCAACCTATCACTTTAACCTTGACGTTAAGAAAGAATTTATAGTCTGTCGGTTTTGAAACGGTAAATTAGTTGTTGAATTCTTATAGCAGATTGTTTATATAGCTTTTCAGTTATGTAATTAATTTTTTGTTGTCCTATGATTTACAGACTCCTAATGCTGTAAAGAAGATCAAGGAAATTCTGAACGAACAAACAGAATATGTAAGTTATTTTAAGCATTGATGCCCTAGAAAAAATGACTGGTTTATTTTTATCATTATTGAAAAAAATTGTTACAATTTCGAGAAGTTTATTTTGAATCGGTTGAATCTATCTTTTAATTCTGCTTTATGTTTAGGTTTATAATGATAATTACTGGATTGAATTTTATTTTCCACGGTGCTTAAAAAAATGTATTATTACAGATAGGACTTAAGGTTGGCGTTAGACAAAGAGGCTGTAATGGCTTAAGTTACACATTAGACTATGCAAAGGAAAAGAGCAAATTAGATGAAGAAGTGGTGCAAGATGGTGTTCGGGTGATCATAGACAAGAAAGCTCAGCTTTCTCTACTAGGTACTGAAATGGATTATATAGAGGGAAAACTTAGTTCAGAATTTGTATTCAATAATCCAAATATCAAGGGGACATGTGGTTGTGGAGAAAGTTTCACTGTATAACTAGTTTCTAAATTAATATAATTTAGGCTGAAATTAGTATAATTTAAACATAGCGTGCAAAATTTGTTTTTGTTATACCAATTGTTGAGTTGAAATATTTGCGTAACAAAGAATTACTTAACTGCTGCAACATTATACTTATTTAAAAAATGTTGTGAAATTGATAGTTTTCTAATAGACATTACATGTGTTTATACATTATCAAAATCCGCATGTATACTTAAAACAATTAAAGTAGCCTCCACCAGTTTGACAACGTGGAGACTTTGCTCTGTTGTAAATATTTCATTTCTTATAAATGCAGGCTATTTTTTATGGTGCCTAAAATATAATGTCCTTTACAATTTTATCTTGTTTAATGTCTAACGTGTTACATGCAACTGCGTAACAAATTAAATTTATTCAGTACGATGTGTTCATAGATAATCTGAAATGTACATTGACCTATTTGTTCTATAGTATGTTATGTAGTTCCTATACATTGATTCTACAACTCTCACTTGAACCAATGTTAAATGAATCTCTGGTTCATTTTCATGGCACGGTTACATGACAACTAACGTCACATGTACAAACTAGTGTAATAGATTTATATGTATAATACAAATATTTATTCTATTTCAAATCACTTTCTTTCATAGTACCCTTTCATTTACTATAAATTATTAATTAAAATATGAATGTAAATAAATAATGTTATTACAGTCTGTTTATAAATATACTCTTTCCTCTTTAAAATTTAGTTTAAACAGTTTCAGTCAATGTATATAAACCACAAGGAATGTGATAGCGGAAGACCATTTCAAAGAATTTAATGAATGGTTGTACAAATAACAAGGACTTTCAATAATGCTCCAGCAAATCAATAAGAAAACTTTGTTTTCAAATGTTTTCTCAATATATTTAAATTAGGCACATGACTTTGTTAAAGAATCAGCATATTGTAATTGCAAACTATTTTGATGTTCACATATATCTAATGCAACGATACAACTTTCGCGAACAACACGTTTAGTGTCACTAAGGTATTTTCTCAAAATTTCAAAACATTCTGCAGTAGCAATTGCACCTAAGGCCTCAGCACATTCATGACGAACCATCTCATTTTCAGTAGGATCTTCAAGCGAATCTCGTAAATATGGCACAGAACTTTCATGTTGTAATTGGCCCAGAACAAATGCAACTTCATGTTTGAACAATGCACTGCCAGCTCGTAAACCTAAAATTCATTTATCATAAGTACATTAAATAGTTGCATGATGTTGAAACATTTGTGCTAATCAACATGTACCTTCTGACAATGCAAGTACGCTTTCTTTATTCCTTAGATTTCTTAATGCAAACATAGCACGATATCTATCAAACAGTGGTAACTTCTCATTTAGTAGATTTTCCTTCAAAACACTAATGTCTTGTATCTCAGTTGGTGGAGCAGGATCTACAGTACCATATGGATTTTTGCTTGTACAAATTAAATTGGCATCAGAAACTGTAAGCCACTGTAGTCTGTTTAAGGCAAGTTGACAGGTTTCAGCGACTTCAATTACAGGATCTCGACTGTATTCTTCTAAGATTGGGATCACACTGTCAACGCCTATAGCTCCTAGTGCTTCAGCTATTTAAACAAACACGTTACAATGTAAATTTCGTAAAATCCATAATTTATAGAAATAGGAATTAAAAAAATGACATGCCAGCTTCGTGTCGAACCATAGCTTCTTGTGTATCGTCTCTGAGAACGTTCACGAGAACAGGTATCGCAGAGGGATCTTGCATTTGTCCAAGGCAATACGCAAGTTCATGTTTTAATAACGCCGATGTGTCATTAAAGCAATTTTGAATTTGTTCAATTGCTACGTTTCCTCCTAAGTTCTTCAGTGTAAATAATGCACGAAATCTATCCTTCAGTGGTTTCGTCTTATCGTTTAAAATGCGACCAACAGCATTGATATCGGTATCACTAATTTTCGACATTTCAACACCGATGATACGTTACAAAGACTAACTCTTTGGTACGTTAGAACAGATTAAAACTCAGTAACTAACCTAAGGAACACGCGCAAAGAGGTTAGAAATGAAGGGCATGAACAATGGGGTTATGTAGTACGTACGTCGATTAGGTGGAAGAGATGGATATGTTACCCACTATTCACCGCGAATTATCAGCAGTGCTATAGGGTTATAAATCCATTTTCGTTACAGAGTCAATATGGCGGCCTATATTCCGTTGGAGCTCCGTCCTCGTCTCCTTATTAGTCCACTGGAATGCATCAGCTACCATTTGTGTGTGCTAGGTGGTGCCATGATTTTTATAAGTTTCCTGAATTCTCCACGGAAGGCGGTGAAGTTCCATGACGCAAACCGGATCTAACTTATCAACTCATTCCTGTGGACACTCTTTGTTCTCTGCAACTTTGGTTTCCGGAATCTTCATCAGGTGTCGCGGCGTACGGACGCACTACTCACATTGCATACTACGGTGTCAGCCATTGCGGTCGTCGGCAGCTTGTGTTCCTGCGAAGCTGCTCCTTTCGATAGCTTCAAATTCGGTGCAATTATGGGAGTGCTAACAAGGGAATCAACGACGTGTCGAAAGAGTAGGGTAAGTCGCAACCTCCAAGTTAAACGCCGATTAACGGTAAACTCTCACAAGACTTGGCGGACGGTTTGAGTCCTTCACCGTGTTAATTACATCGTTTGTGGGCTTGGCGAAAGGTCGGTCGCGTGATCTCGTAAATGCCATTCTCTGCGATGACGCTATAGGACGATAATGATCGGACATCCGCTACAATACGAATACGCGTCGTTAGAGACGCTTTCGTTAGCGCGTCCCATAAATTCGCAAAAATTTCAAAATGGCTCCTTTCGCCTAGGTACCTGACACCTGCGCGGTCGACTTACGCGTGAAAGTTTCACTTTTACTTAGCTGTCAAGGATTTAACGGGCGAACTAACCTTCACCAAACTTAATGTTTACTCGAGCCAAGTATTATTTATGCGTTCTAGAAAGTTTGTTATTGTGTTTACTATGACTTTGTTTGATCATATTTTTATTTATTTTCTTATATTTTTCATCAATCTCCAAATCGTGTCGCATTATTTTTTTAATCGATGTTTCTAATCGTTTCAATAATTTATACTTCTTTGAGCGTTATAACGATTATTAGTACTATGTAGCAGTTAAAATGAGCAAATTAGATTATCGTTGGAATCTGGAGAAGTGATTAGTAAATGTTCATTCGTTTGTAAGTCTTCATTGGTTATTTTAAAAATTGTATTGGTTAACATACTGTGGCAATATGTTCGATTAAGAACAATGAACGAGTACAGATAATGGTAGTCGTAGGACCTGCTCCAGATAGCTTCGTCTTAGCACCGGATTCTAGAGGGTCGCAGTAGCCAAGGACTTGTGTTTACATTCTCCAAGGATACTGGACTGTCGACGTTCTGCAATTTTGAGCTCGATTCAAAACAAAGTCAAAGGGGATAATGTGCTTCGCAAGTGTTCCTGCTTTGGCAACCGATATGAATTACGTCATGCCAAATGTTATACAAAGTTAAGAGGCGACACAGTGTCTCTTCTGAAATTAAATGATTGACTGTACACGTACCGAACTCAAACTGGCATTTATTTTCACTATACATGTAAATGAGAAATTATAGCGTTCAATTTGTGTAGCACTGTTTGTACAAATTTAGAGTATGGCCAAACTCTACGTTCGTTTACCTCGGATTGTTGTTTACAGCGAGATTAAACGGTTATCAATACTTGCGTGAACTTACTATCGGCAAACTCGCATTTATTGTCATTATTGCCTAGAGTAAAATCCACCTATTATTAATGCTCGCGCGAATTACCTACCGCCAATCTCGCATTTGTTGTTGTTACACGTAATAAAAAGTCATTGTTCATCTCGTGTAACACTATTTGTAGAAATCTAGAGTACAGATACCATATACATTCGCTTGTCCCGGATTGTTTCCTACTGCGCGTTGTACGCGTTACGTTGGCGTGGATGACGTCGATCGATTATGTAAATGCTGCCTCGTAGTCAGTTCATCGAAAGCAAAGGTAGCTATCGTTTAGCAAGAAAAATATTTCCTGGTATACATATATACTATTGCACATACAACATTAGATACTACATTCACCGTCATTAGCGAGTTGAACGTGACGTTCTTAAACATTATACTCCGCGACACTCGCAAGATTTTTAGGCAAATTCGTTATCAGCGGATGCAATTTTATCCTGACTTATCACTCGTGATCGCATCCGTGGTCCCGTGAGGGCGTGTCACGAATTCAAAAGTAGAGAGGTCGTCTCGCTCGTCAAGCAGCCGTCAACTCCTCCCTTATCAATTCGCGAAGCAAATAACAGTGATAAGGGAGGGCAGGAGGGCGGCGGAGGTATGGAGAGAATTTCCCGATTAGACAAGCCAGGGACCAGTAAGAAATTCAGATCCGATGGGTGTGCTGTCGGTAATCTACTTTCGTTACGTTATATACCCGGCTAATACCGTTAATTGCCCTGCACTTACGTCACGCGGATAAGCCGCCATACTTGACTTAACGTACGTACATACATGTTCAAGGCTGGCACATGCGACCTCGCGTACCGCACTTGAAACATTTAGCGGTCAAGTGCATTGTACTCCGAGCGAGGTTACCGCTTTGTGTCTATTTTTCATCCAATTCATTTTTTTTTTGTTTCGCCGACCATCGATCCGTTCGCTTGGATAATGAAACCGTGAGAATGGGGAAAAAAGAGGGGTTTTTTTATTTCGTCCGGGTTTCAGTGACAAAAAATGTCCTTTTGTCTCGCTTTAAATCGTGTTTGTGAAGAACTTTTATGCTTCCTTGAGCGTTTATACGCGTCAGGGGTATCGTATAACGGGTATTGTTAAGTATTGAGAGAGCTCGAAAGGAGCTCAATTTTTTAAGCCGATAATATCGGTCGCTGACCGCACTCCAAGTGGTAGGGATTTGCACGGTACGTGTGTGGAACAATGTTTAACCCGCTGGGTTGAACAATGGTATCGTCTTTCGACTTTGGACGAACCGTCGTGTCGTGTATCGTATCGTGTCTTGTGGCGTTGACTCTACGAGATGGCAAAAGTATGTTCAAGCCGTTGAACGCGCGTTTTAATATACTCCCGTTTTTCTTTATATTTAAATGCCGTGCATTAGCAACTACCCGAGTCCTGCGAATGAGTCGGTAAACAATGGAAATGAACGGTGGACGTACTCAAAAATGAATTCCCGGTCGATGGGCAATTAATTACTTGTGTTTACATCGAGGGAACGGTAACAGCTGATTTGAGGAAATTTTCACATTTTCTCCCGCGCCGATATTGCACGCATCTTTAATCGGCCTTTATCATAGTGATACTTATTTAAATAGGTCATTGCAGTTGTGTGCACTAGTGCTCCAGAACTCTGGACTCTGAAGTATCGAAAAAACGGAGATATGGAGACCGTGATTTTTTTTTTGTTTATTTTAGCCACCGCAGCGATAGCATACGGAAGATGATGAAAATCCCGGGACGAATTTCAAGTCATTTGTTCTAGCATTTATGTAGTCATTTATAATGCAGATTTCACCGGAAGGGCGAAAGTTAAATTACTCGCGAATTTATGTCCGCGGTATTCGATTCGTCCCTTTGAATGACAGTCGACTATGACTCAGGAAGTCAATTTCTTTCTTTATTTTTTTCGTGCATGACTTTTTATCGCTGTTGTCCGTGCAATTCATGGTTTAATTTTTGTACATTGTGTCTTTCAGATCAGTAGAATGGTGTTGAGGTCGAACTCCTAGAAGGCGCGGAATCGATTTCGAGCTTTCGGGAGTTAATCCATGAGCGAGGTCCCGTAGTACAAGGATATACGACCATATATTCCTAGATTCGAAGAAGTCGTCTAGTCGCTTGGTCAATGTGTTTGGTAACACAAAACTATTAACTACAAATAGCCGAAGAGTCTCATCGCGTCCATAAGCACAAGCAAGCCCGACAAGAAGAGAGGAGACGACCGTCTGGAATTATTAAAAATTGACCAACAACTCTAACGTATCCTCCGGAAAAGAAGAGAAGGGAACACCTGAGGAGGAACCTGTTGAGAAGTGGCGGGCACGAGAATGGGGTCTTCCAGGCCGCAAGATATGTCTCTCAACGGAGGCATATCTCTGCCACAGTGGATGAAGACCAAAATGGATACGAGGTATGCACTTTTCCTCTTTCTTCGGATTTCGGAGAAACAACCCTGTTTGGGCAGAACTACTTCGTAACCTCACTCGCCTCTTTGTTTGTCAATAATCGGGCCGAAGAAGAATTGAGTTTGAATTAATTAGCCTAATTAAATCGCCCGCAGCACTCCAGATATGCCCAAGATTGGGTCATCGGCATGTTCGGTCGGGATGTCTCAATCTTGTCGGACATATGATGATCGTGACACGTGACTTGTGACTCGTGACTCGTGAGTCATGACTCTTGTCCACGGGAACCTTCGTTGCTAACTGCAAGATGCGGTGTTATCACGCGGGATGCAACTTGATATTTTATTATTTTTTTTTTTTTGTAGCCAGACTGCTCTATCGTTTTCTCGTTCCCGTTGGCTTCAACAGTAGCTCAGTTCATGGTTCTAAAATGTATTCCAACGGCTTGATTTATTTTACCGTTTAACCTGAGATTATCATGATTTTATTCAGTAACTTCATGTTGACTTTATTCCGTACAATCCGCTTTTATAGGACGTATCCGAAGGTGATCATGCGAGCGATTTCTATAGGCGTTAATTGTACTCAGCTGTTTTTTTTTTTTTAACATTGTATTCGCGTGTAGAATAAATGCAATCTCGTTCGATGGAAATTTTGGCATTAGGAAAATTCTGGGAGAAATTGAACCTCCCTCCTCGAAATAATCCAATCTGACTCAATATGTGCCACGAAGTCTCCGAGCCGTGGAATAATCTTGGAGTAATCTCTGCCGCCACCTTTCCCCTCTAATGTCGGTAAATTTCCGCCAAAGAATTTTCCGTGGCTCGGTATCGTTACCGTGCCTCGTTTAGGCCTCGTTCAAACAACCTTCGAGTTTCAACACTACTAATTAGCCGGAATTGGACGCACTGGACGAAGCGTGAACTGCCGTTCATTAATGGCTACCAGTAAAGGTCGGCGGAATTCACGAGAGTTGGCAGAACTTCCGCTGCGGAATATTTATTTGTATATATTATCAAGAAGGGGAAAACTGTCTCCTGGGTTTCCTCCAGGAATCTCAGGAAAATTTTCCCGAGTCTCCTCCGGGAATCCCGGTATAGATAATCACAATACTAACGTGTAAGAAATGCACGCGTATCGTTACTTCAAGTAAATCACTACACGTCTGAAGGTTGATATTTGTAATTAATTAATGTGTATTAAGAAAAACGGAAAGTTTTCTGGAATAATTCTGACGTAATATTACTCAATGGGATGGTAATTGATGCATCTCTCTGCATACATTAGAATCGCCAATGACTGTTTCTCCGATTCTTCGTTACGGAATCGTTTTCTTAGGTATTAACTCTACCTCGGTACCTAGATTTGAATATTACCGAGGGTTACGTTAACTTTAATGGGCTCAAATATCATATTACAGATTGCACATTTATGAATTGTAAAGTGACGTGGAATGAACTTTTTGAAAGTCTAATAAAGGTTAGATATGTATGTATTCGTGTGTAGTCTAAGAGGCGCGTGTATTTTCTGCGTGTCGGACTTGGCTTGCGGAGAAATCACGGGACCTGTATTTTTAGGTTCTCAGAGCTGACGACAGTAGTGACACCCGTTATTTTCACACGGCCATTTCTGAACACAGTCCTAAGACTAGACTTATTGAATTAACGGCAGTCTTAAGTGTAAAAAAAAATAGTCCGAGGAGCGAGGAGCAAAGTCACCCCGGGATTAGAATTAAATCCCATTGAAGACCTGACGTGTATTACGTCTTCAATCTCTACGATTTCCTCATTTTATGGAAAATCCGTACTGTTAAGTAGGTACTTCCACGGTGTTAATACTTTTTCTTTTTTATACAAGTGTATATTTTGCGGTTCTCCGATGAAAGTAGATGGTTCTATTCTAATTGTGAACACTGTATTGAACGAAATTGCGAAATCTAGAAGAGCGATGTTCTTCTCTGTCAAGGTTCACCGGTGTTATCGTAACGACTGCTTTCCAATGAAACGAGGCGGTATTGATAACGATCCGAGTTGTTTCGAATTTGCTTTAGTGCGATTAGTGCCTATTTGATACTTTGTGTCGTTTAACGAGCAATAAATTAGTGGCAAAGTTATCGACTTGCTATTCGAGTTGACATTGAAATTGTACCCCATTATGTGCTATACTTGATCCGAGGTCATCACCAAGGTGCAAGTATATTCTCTCAACCGTGTATTTTTTTTTTTTCCCCGTCTAACTCGCAACCTTGGCATAGAAACTACGTTTGTCATTGAGTCTTGGGTCCAGTGGTCGTCTTCAGAGCCTGACCATTTTCTTATTAATTCAAAAATTTGTTCAAACTCTGGTATACGCGAATTGCGAAGGCAAAGCTGCTGCCAATAAAACGGGACCACCGGAATCTCGTGCAGTAGTTCTGCAGCATTTGCACCGACGACATCGATTTGTTCCAAGGAAGCTTCTTCGGTATGCCAGAATTTTACTTCTGGTAAATATGTTTCGGCTAGAAAATTGGGGAGAGTATTTAGAGGAATATTTTACATAGCTGTTACTTGATAAAAGTGGGCTACGGCAAGAAATAAAACGTATTTTATTGCTAATAAGTTTATTACTAGTTCTAAGTTAAGGCGCTCGTTGGTTTTGTATCTTGTACAGAAAGATGGAGAGATTGAAAAGATGGCGGCCCAGTTAGATAAGATTTAGAATTAACATGACAGAAGGCTTCTGGAAGCATCGAAGCTAGGCTTAAATTCGATTATGAGAGTAAATGAAAATGTCGACGACTGCTGTCTTTGCTTGACTTAAAGAGTTGGGAACAAATCAAGAGGGATAATTTCGATAAAATTTGTAAACAAGCTGTTAGCGTCCACAAATCTCTGTATCGATAGGCCGTAGGATTCGCAAGTGCCTCGCCTCGAGTAATCAGGGACGTGACTGCTCATCTAATGATATGTCGGCGATTGTTAATGACACTGTTGTGAAGATGGTGTTATTCCAAGTTTGAGTTAAATTTAATTCCCCGGCTCGGTTGTGAGCTCGATAGTAAGGCTGTTTTCCAGACCCGGTAGTTTTTCATGACTTTTCTTGCCGTTTGTAGATATTTCTAAGAGGTTCGCTTCTTCGACTGTTTGTGCTGGAAGTTTATTATATTGTCGTATGATTTACAGGTTCGACTTCGACGAGAGCACCTTCAGCCCGCCATCTTACGACGACAGTTTCGTGTACCTGCGGCAAACAAAACAACATCAAACCGCTTCCTCGACCCAGCAAACATTCAGGTCTGTTGACAAAGCGCTGAACGAGAACAACAGCAGCGTCTCGATAACCAGTCAAGTGGCCCAACACCAGAAAACCGTCTCCGACATCAAGGCGGCGAAGGAGATCGACTTCAGCAAACATCCTCTGCCCTGCCAGCCGTTTATCCCGGACGCCAACAAGGGTTCGCAATGTGAGTCTGCCCTTATCGACGGCGATAAGGCGAACTATTTGCAACTTCACCATCTGGTTCGACCAGTAGCGACGAACAAGATTTCCTACTCGATACAGCACCTAGAATCGAGCTATTCTCGGTCTCGTAGCGTCGTATCGGTGTAGGTACACGTGCCGGATAAATCCAATCACAGGTCACCGATTGTCGGATAAATCTGGTTAGGAGATCAAGAGTCATGCGAGCGCCCGAATTTCGGAGATAGGTCGTCACGTGTTGGTCATGCGGAAAATTTCAGTCAGACCATGGACGACCGATAACTCGAACATTTTTACTGCTATCCAAACGGGAGACGGCGTGCATCGCTGTCCAGCTCTTTCTCGAATCGACGCGGGTTAATTCAGAATGCCGATCACGGGGTTAAGGCTCATTGGCAACAATACTCTTGTTTATGGGCGGGCTTCTCATTTTAGAACGTCAAACCGACGATAATTCCGCTGGTCGGCGACGATAACGAATAATGCTCTTGCTCGACCGGTCACAGCTGGCTCGGTATCAGTTTTGTCACGTTTTTGCTGTGGCCGCCGATTTCACCACTTCGCTCTAGTGCGGTCGATAAACAGGGAAAAAAGCCGTCCTCTTGGTTGAACTTTAGAACCGTAGAATGGAAAAGAGGTAGCGTCATTCATTTATTTTTGTAAGATTCGGTAACGGTGTTAACGCGATGTATCGATAAGAGGTAAGAATTTTTCATGCTAGCCGATTCTGCCGTTCGATAACAAGGTCCTGCATTAAGCCAACCGGTCAGGGCTGACTCAGTATCAATTATCATCTTTATAAGTGAGATAACCAAATTCAGTGGTCATTCGCCGCTCGGTAAACTACTCGGAATGGGATCTCTAGGTGGAAATAGACCGCTTTGTAAAGCGGACTTATTGATGACATCTGCTGGTATGACATGTGATTCTCTTCGACCGGACACAAGTTTACAAATGGACTGGCTAAGAGGGCCCGTCAATGCTCAATTCCTATTGGCCGAGCTTTATCACACCCAACCGGCTATCTTCCTTGTTATCCATAGCGCACGGTATATAAATTACGAAGACCCTGACTCTTTACCTCATTATCAGACGCGGAGAGCGAGCTGCTCGAGCTGGCTATGGCCTGGGACGTGTACAGAGATCTTAGTTCGCGACAAAGTAAAGACTATACTCTCGTGTAAATCTTCGCATGCCCGAAGATTCCCGTTTAGTGAGCTCCGAAAGACTGAAGATTTATTGTGTAGATAGTATTTATTTTTAACTAGTTTTTTTTTCTGCGACACGCCGTGGACTTTTTTATAACAGTATTCGTCGCGACGCTTTTGAGCGCCCTTAACGTTAAACAATGTCGTTATTAATCTAAGTACTGGCGGAAAAAAAAAGTTTGTACCGTGTTCGGACGATTGTAAAACGCGAAGCGCCATGTTGCTGCACGCTGCGAAGTTCTGTACCCACGGATGTGAGACGGTACTTTGGATCCTGTCGGAAACTGCGATCGTGACAGCAGCGATTGTCGATTATGGTACGTCTTTGTAACGCGATTGGGACGTTTCCGAGATTCGATTCTTGGGGAGACACCCAATCAGGGTGGAATTTTGACGATACGCGCAAGTGATCCGCAATCGTAAAAACTTCCCGTTGGATAACTCTGGGGAATATTTCCTTAGGTTGTAATATTTTATCTGATATCTTTAACGTTCCTTTTTCGTGTTTCAGTTATCGAGGTGAAGCCTCCTAAAGTTGTGGTAGCGGGCAAAGTCAAGGCGAAGTCTCAGGGAACGGATGACGGTTTCCACGGTGAGCCGGCCTTATGCGGCAAGTCGATCGTCCACGTGGCAAATCAGATGATGTCCGGTAAAAACAGCAAGCTGACCTCCTCGGAACACGCCGAGGAGATTCCAAAGAAGGGCAGCAAGTCTTTGCCGGTGACACCGTTGACGTCGCCGATGAGCACGCCGGACAGCTCCCCCAAGTCACGCAGGAAGGCCTACTCCAATCGGTACTTCACCGGAGCTTTCATCCCGGATCGCGAGAAGTACCAGAGCGGCTGGATTTTGGGCGGTCTTCTGGGCCAGTCCAGGGAGATGGTAACAACAAAAATCGACGAAGAGGAAGAGCCAAGCCCGGAGATCGTCGCGCCGAAGAAGCTCAGCCGAAAGAAGTCCATCTCCTCGCAGAGTCTGTTGTTCATCGAGAAGGACGAGAAGGCCCCGGAGAAGGTGCCGGCCTTCACCAACGTTTTGCAGGTCAAGCCATCGGAATTGAGGGAGATGAACTTCTGGTCCCCGACTTCCATGTAAACCGGAGGGTCCTCCACGTCCCCCAGCCGAGAATTAACTGTATGGCGTGCCGTAATCGCAAGAATCTTGGGTCCAAAACGCCAGGACACCGAGGAAGGGGACCACTCTCCGTTGATGTTTCCTAACCTACATTTTTCGAGCTCGGGGGATGCAGCTCTTCGACTCCTGGTTTAAATCGCGAGAACGCGCATCGTTCCGAAGTCGCCCGTTTATTATTTAACTTATTCACTTTTACGTTGACCACTTGATGGCGATTGACGAGGATTCTCAAGTTCGGTTTGGACTGGTCCGGATGCGCCATATGCATTTCCTCCGTTTCTTCGTCGTTTTAATCCATCACTGATGTCTGTTGTGGGGACTTGTCGTGGATTCAAGTACCGGCAACTTGGGGGAAACCAGAAATCTAAATCGACGCCGACTTTGGGACGATGCCTCTCCAATTACTCAATCAAGCAATACCGAAGATTCGAAATTTAGCAGCCACGAGGAAGTAGGGCACGCTGCGGGAAGCGAAAGAAGGAGGTCGATTTTTAAAGAAACGTCATATCTTTTATATAGTATTTCGAAACACATTGTCCAACTTCTCATTCAAGTGTCTCACTGCATTGTCGTTGATGACGCGTCGTTTATTCATTCATGGAGAAGTCATCGTGCGCACTCTTCATCATTTGCAACTTCGGTCGCACGCGATGTCACCTTTGTCACGTGCGATCTAGTCGATAATTCTACACTTTTGACATTCATTCGTTTATTATTACACGTACCAACTTCCTTCAGTTTGGTTAACAAGGGATAGAAACTTAGATCACTAATATTATTTATAACCGTTGTGAACCATCTTTGGAGGCAAGGTCTAGACGACCGCTTCGCTCGTTTCACGCTGCTAGTGGCGGCGAGGGTCTTGATTATCATACACCCTTTGTTTTGTACAAGTGTTGGTGGTAGGAGTGTTAATTTAGCAGTCCCGAAGTAAAATGCGTTAAAGGTGCGAAGAAAAACAAAACACTCAGCCGGCGGGAGGAACTACAGTCGATAAATATGTCTGAATTGCTCTTCTTTTTTTTTTTCTCTCTTTCTCTTGGATCAATTTATCATGGAATTCCGTCGGCCGTAATGTTGGGAAACACTTAAGTTATTGAAAACGCTGATACCTCGACTTGATGATATTTCGAATGTTATAACAATACGTTGACGCGCTCCCAGGCGTTGGGCAAGTTGTAATGAATCTAAGAGTCGAAGTGCAAAATGGAAACTTGTACCTGGTTCATTCGAGCGATTTAGTGTACGTAAAGGTAGCCTCGGCTGACTCGAACGCGATTTAGTCGTTAATCTAATTTATCCGATATTTAAACTAGACACTAAGATCTATCGCGTGGATTTCACGGAATGGACGTATCACGATATGTTTTACTAATACCGTCGATCCGAATTCATCAGCATACCTCCATTTTCACTCTCACGTAGCGCATCTACACTCGATTAGAAGAATAAACCATATACCTGATACATTGATAAAACTAGTGGAGTCGTTCTTTACCTAATTTCTTCGTAACGGGTTGCTCACTTTCGGTTTACCGATACTCCATAACTAAAGAAATTTCTATCGAGTTCTAACCAGCGGATGGATTTATTATCAAGAAACCGTGCTGGGAAAGTCTCAACGCATAAGGAGATCTCTTCTCAGTTTTTCCTGTCATCCACCAAATAATGGTCCATCAATTTTCATTTGCTAAGATTACCGGCCGTTTATACTCTCATTGCTTATAAGTCGGAATGATATACTTTCACTTCTTAATGTGGAGAAAAAAGTGGATCATTGTTCGCGAGAAACTGCGATTTTGTCCCTTTTGGAGAACGTGCTCGTTGAGTCGGCCAAGGTAAAATCTTCCCCGTCCCTCGGGAGTTGGATTTCACGCGAAACGGGCGAGATTCGAAGGTTAGCGATTTTTTTTTCTTTTTTCTTTTCTTTTTTGCGAGAACCCCTTAGGGGGCTGGGTGAAAGTAAGTCATGGGCAGGGTGCCCTCCGACCACGCCCGACATAAAAGTATCCACGCATTTACGATTCGCGCGTGCTCGTATCTGGATGGTAAATCGAGAGTAGGTAAACCTCTCCCGAGTTACGCAATGCCGTATGAGTCGAGTCAAAAGTCGCCCGAGTTTCCAAAAGTTTGTTTCGAAATATACGACTTGTAGGGTAAGCCTGCTGTTGCATGGATTACCACTGTATTGTCGTTATCTCCTTACAGCTACGAGGTATCAGGAAGAACAACGCCGTATTATTTTGCAAACAATATTATATTTTATGTACACATAAATAGAATAATATCGTTACAGTTGTAAGCACGTGAGAGGTCCTTCCAAAAATGTTCCAGCCCGGCTCTCAGCTTCGGGCCGATGATCTTAGTGAAATCAAAGACTGGTTACTATCTGGGTTTACAAGTCAATTCACGTTCCCACGTGGAACATGGAATCGAGTAAACTAGGCATTCGGGTGAATCTCCAGATTATCGGATCTGTCGTCTTCAGGGTGTACACCAGAAGTAACGAGTCTTTCAGTGATACGACGCGCTGCAGTTACAGCTACGGGAGCGGTACCGGGTGCGACTCTAAGCACATTCACGTAAACCAAGACGGGCGGAACCGCACTACCAATAATACATAGCACGGTCCCGGCGACGGGATCAGTTACAGCATCTTGCTCACCATTTTCCAAAAAAACCAATAAGAATGAAAAACATGAAAAAGACGAAAATAAACGCGAATTTCAGGAATTATCTTAACTGCATCGAATGCCGACTGAGAAAACTCACCAGGGATTGGTAACGTTACATATTGTGGGTGTGGTTTTTACGGAAAATCGTGAGCGGGGAAGTTCCAAGAGGTCGGTCCATACGTTTACCAGCTGTAGGAAGCACCGATTCCACTGAAGGAAGCGTGGGAGACGACTGCGGCGGGGGCTGCATGCGCGTAGGCCAGGGCGGGTGCGGCCTTGACGATGGGGGTGGCAGCGGCATAGGTGTATGCGGGCGCGGCCTTGACGACGGGCGCAGCCGCATAGCTGTATGCGGGCGCAGCGGCGTAGGTGTATGCGGGCGCGGCCTTAACTACGGGGGCAGCTGCGGCGTAGGTATATGCCGGCGCGGAGGCGGCGTAGCTGAGGGCAGGTGCAGCGGAGTAGCTCAGGGCGGGCGCGGCCTTGACGACGGGTCCAGCTGCGTAGCTGTATGCGGGTCCAGCGGCGTAGGTATATGCGGGCGCGGCCTTGACGATGGGTGCGGCAGAGGCGTAGGTCAGAGCGGGCGCGGCAGCGGCGTAGGTCAGGGCGGGCGCGTAGTACTTGGCGTCGTTGGTGATGCGCGTGTCCACTTTGCGCACGCTAGAGAAGGCTGTGTCGACGGCTTTGCTGTAGTGGGAGACGGCCGCGTTTCCGTCAAGGGAGCGCACCGTGCTCTGGTGGGAGGAGCCGACGGCGGGTGCGTGGATGGCTACGGGAGCAGCTGCGTAGCTGTAGGCAGGCGCGGCGGCGTAGCCGTATGCGGGCGCAGCCGCAGCTGCGTAGGTCACGTGGGCCGGGGCTGCAGCGGCATAGGTCACGTGGGACACGGCCGGAGCCGCGCTGTAGGCCACTGCCGGGGCGGCGGACAGAAGGTGGCCGGCTCTCGCCACGGCCAAGAGGGCGCTGAGGGCTACGAACTGGAATTTTGTAATATAGTGTTATTAACTTCTAAACATCTACATCTGCCTAATTTGTCGTTTCATTGCAGGTAGTCGGGACCCGGGAAGTCGATCATATGGGCGTTACATGGTCTATTATGGCATGAGCAGAGGGGAAAATTAATTTCACCAATGACTTGTACTATTACGTGACACGATACCAATGTACTATAAATTCAAATCATTCTGGTAAATTCGAGTAAATTCAATGTCCCTTGTAGACTAAGTGATCTATTTTAGGGTATAAATAGGGTAGTATTTTTTGTGCGAGTGCTGCCTTTGCGGACGCGGGAACTGGGTTTGTAATCTTGGATTAGAGGTAAATTAGACGTTTGGTCACTTTGAATGATGGTAATGATTTTTAGTAAATATGTTTGTCGTATACCGTACCTTGAACATTTTTGAATCGGGTTTCGATGTGCTCACGACTGCGAGTCGAGAAGATATGACAATGATCGAAGTTTCACGGTCTGGTTTATATACCGAAAAAACCGAGGGGCTGCCGTGCCACCGAATTTCGTCACTGACCGGTCCTCTCGGGTGAGGTCTCTAATTTGACAGGAGAGAAAGAGAGAAAGCGAGGATAGGAACGGGGTGGGAGGAAGAAAGAGGGACAGACGACGGCCATAGAGGCGGACAATGTAACTCCGAGGCTGGAGGTAAAGATTCGGCCGGCGAAGGTCTGGGTTACCAATCTCCGAAGGGGAGTACGCCCAATCTCTTTTCACCGCTTAATAACCCGTCTTTCCTTAACTCGTTACGAAACCTCGGGGACCTTTTTTTCGCTCGAGATACCGATTGCTAATTTTCTGCAATCTCGTTGCGCAATCCCAATCGACCCTGTCACTGTAAGAGTATTTAAACTTCATGCGCTTGACCTTCGTTGCTTCGTGTCATTCGTGCAACCGTATCCTCGATGTAAATCTTTCTTACAATGACTATGTATTATTTAATAAGCTCTTTAATATCCCCAAAATGTATAATGCGATCGAAGTTTGTAGACAAATGCCTCCATTGACATATGTTTTATGGATGTCACCGCGACTTTACTCCGTAATAAGTGGGGCGTGAGGGCGAGGGATTACCATTGAACTTTTTTTTTTCTCCTAACTTGGGTTCCGTCGTGGTCGGTTTCCTCCAGCGACTGAGCAATGAATGCTTTCACGTGTTTAAAAAACATGACGTACTCTTATGTATGTACTTTGGCGCGCAAAAGTTAAGTCATTCGTTCTCAAAAAATTATTTTCACCCAGCACTTCCCGCCACCGAAGACGATTCACGGTAACAGCGTAACTTTTCACGATAACTAGGACCATGTTCCAGAATTTGAAATTTTGTAAATTAATTTTAGAAAAAAGGTCAAAGATGACTTTATTTATAGTTATGCATTATGTACTAATTATTTATGAACAAGCGGGTAGTTTTACTGCTTGGTGCGTTACCTTCATAAAAATTATCTTTATGGATAAATTTAACAGCCTTGTAGCCTTCCCATTTCTTGTTAAACCTTCATCGATGCTCCGCTCGCCCTTAAAGTTTATTCCTGTATTAATAAAAATGGAAGAATATCGGAGAAACTGATTCGAGATTATGCAAGGATCGCCTAGTGGAAACAGGCTTTCAGCCGGAATGGATCGGCCTAGTTGGAGAAGTCGACATTTTTTCGGGCCGCAAAATGATCCAGATCGCCCTTACGCAATTTCACGGGCGTGTATTCGTGTCCTCATTTGCATTTTACAATCGCTCTCTCGCAGCGTTTCCGAATTACATTTGTGGGCATAATTCACGGCTAACGAGGTGTCCTTTCTTTTTTTCACCGAGAATGCCCGTGTCAACTTGATATTCGATATTTCATCGTCCTCGTGCATAAGTGTCCACTAAATTGAATATATTTTTAAAGTAACGTCATATTTAGAAAGTAAAGGACCGGGAAGAGCGTTCAGCCTTTTTCGAAAGAAATATAGGCTCATGTCTAACTCGAGGGGATATTCACTCAGGAAACGTAATCATGTGGAAATTAGCTGGAAATCGTTTAAGATTACCGAAACACTGTCACAATTATAAGGTCGACCGTGTCTTGTTACCGAATCGCATTGTTCTTTATCATATGAAATCAAAGGCAATGCGCTATCAAAGAAGGAAATCGTTTTCACTGATTTCCGAAGGAACAACTCGGTCTAAAACTATTAACCGTGTAAGGTACGTATTTTATTCCGCGTTCCTTTTTTCCCGCTCGACGAGTAACCAGTTTTAAGATCGACAATTGACCGGCTTTTGCATCGTATAATGTAGATAATTATTTCTTTTGTGACGACCACTGGTTGCAGAAGTACGACGACGTGCATTGCGGTTCCTGGAACCTTCGACCGGTTCGCAGTGCTCGTTTTACTTCGGAATTACAGGCATTACAATAAGCGTACAAAGAGCTGGCCCTTTCGATTCTGCGGTGATTCATCCAAAGTTGGTCCCACGGGTTAATTTGCGAGAACTAGGGCAAGGTTGCCCCACCAGGTTGAAAACCTGAATTCGCTGGAAAAAAAAAAACTGGAGAAGCGAAACGATCGTTATTGTGTAAACATTATTCTTGCTCGCATTTACCGCTAAATAAGCATATATGTAGTAATTACTATGATTAGCGTGAACAGCGGTTAAGCTCGATCGCATCTCTTCGCTATGTATCGATTTTCTGGTATCTCCTTCCCTCCTATCGCGAAATTAGTAAATTTCCTTCCTCAAGCATAAATACCGTAATTACTGTAATTAGCATGAGCCAAAGGTAAGATCGATCGCATCTCTGCAAACTGACTCTCCGATATCTTGCACGCGTCCGTCAACTATCGTCTCTTATCACAGAATTAACCGACTCCCATTAAATTGAATTGTTTAAAGCATGCACCGTAAATGAAATTCTCAATTAACATAGTAACTCAAGTGACAAATAGACTCGCCTGAAGAATGAAACGTACGACCCTCTGATATATGATAATTTCATTCAAATGTGCTACATATTCCTACGTGGTATCAGTTCTAATCAATTTTGCAAGATAAATTTTCTTATTATTCACACGTAATCGGATAGATAGCGTGCTCGATTAGGTAGTCAAAGGTTATCGATCCAATACAATATAAAATAAGATCCAGTAATTTCTTTATTTATTTACACGATGCAGATAATAAATCTATACAGTGGGAATTGTCTTGATCCTCCTGCATGTGCCGAGCTTCCGGAAAACGTATCGCGATGATTATCACATGTAAAACAGATTACATGCAATTTGTAATTATAAAATTAGGCACCAAAAATAGTAACAATACTTTCAAGTCTTAACAAATGATCCGCTGGACTCGTTTCTTTCAGGTGCAACATCGACTCTCTGAAAGCTGCTGAGATCGAGAAATAGCGAAACACTTTGAAGCTATTTTTCGATTTTCATCGGCAATTATCAGGAAAATTAATGCGCGTACGACGAGATGAGCGGCAATGACGCCTTAGCGTAAATTGGTGTGGATGCAGCGTACTGCAGGGGTGTAGATGCGGCATAGTGCAGGGGAGCAGATGCTGCATAGTGCAGGGGGGCAGATGCTGCATAGTGCAGGGGGGCAGGTGCGGCGTAGCTCTTCAGGATGGGAGCAGCAGAGGCGTACTGCACGGCTGCAGGTGCAGCGTAAGCCTTAGCGTACAGGGGAGCGGGAGCTGCATAACTAACTGCAGCGGGAGCGGCAACCCTAAAAAAAGATAATTCTTTTTCAATACATGATCATACAAGGTACATTCCGAATTCTCAAAGCTGAAGATGATGCACACATTCGTTGTTCCTCTTTTTTAATCGAATTTTGAATTTAACATTAAAATAAAGAATTACGGTAAATGTAAAAAGTGCAAAGCTTCATATAAAGATATACCGAGAAGGGTACTTACTTGAGCGCAGGTGCACCGTAGCTGTAAGAAGGTGCGCCATAGCTGTAGGAAGGTGCGCCATAGCTGTAGGAAGGTGCGCCGTAGCTGTAGGAAGGTGTAGCGTAGCTGACGGCAGGTGCAGCGTAGCTGACTGCTGGTGCAGCGTACCCATAGGACTGGTAGACGGCAGGATTGCTCACACGGACGTCAGATTTGCTGACGCTGGAGAATGGCGTGTCGATCGTCTTCGAGAACGACGATATTTGGGCCAAATTACCAGGGCTCCTCAAGATATTGGAAGATTGGGAAGTGATCGCAGGTGCGGCATAGCTGAGCGCAGGCGCGGCGTAGCTGAGCGCTGGGGCTGCGTAAGAGATGGCGGGCTGCTCCCCGATGAACCCGGCATTTACAGCCGACAGGGCGGCGCACAGGACAATGAGCTGAAAAAGGATTAACTGAAATGACTCGGAACTAAATGGAGTTGAACTAATCCAGTTGAAAATGGAGGTGTTTTGAATAGCCTCGATTATATCGCATCGCGAAATAATAGCGTGGGTTAGCCTCGATGGGTGGATTCTTACCTTGGCGGACATCTTGAGGAGGATTTTCTCAGACAATTCTCCACTACAAGGGACGAGAGAGAACGGTGCCAATGTCTTCGAAGTTAGGTGACTTTATACTGGATTAACTTTCCAAAAAGAAGCTGGGGAATGTTCTCGGTCGCCCCCATCCGCGCAGGTTTTACCTCCTGTAATCTTCCACCTTCGCCCCATATGGAGAGCCCTGGTCCCTATCCCCCCTTTTCTCTTTAAAATATTACTCTCGATTTTGGCGGTCTCTGGTGGACTCTCGTTTTGCCTTTATTTCGGGCTTTATTTTTATTCCTCGAGGTGGGTGCCTCTTACTTCTGCTTCTTACCGCATCGCGTGAGGCCGCAAGGACTCTGACATGCGACCTCGTATCGCGCCGTTTATGCATCGTATGCACCGTATGCACCGTATGCACCGTATGCACCGTATGCACCGTTCACACCATGGGGTGTCGATGAGGCACGCGTCGAATATGAAGATCATTTAATTATTTTGAAGTACATAAGAAATGCATTAAGTCCCGGAGAACTTGACGCCCGCGTATAACTTTTCGCGACCGACCGTGACACGTCTTTGGGGTCCATGAAATAATAAATTACCCTGATTGCAAAATTTACTAACAGCTCCTTCCAATGCCGTGATTTCCTCACGAAGGCTCAGGGAGGTTTCTCGTTTCTCGGGTCATTCTAGCTCACCGTTTCGAGAGTACGTCGGGATTAATCGTCACTCGAGGTGCCGTCATTACTCACTCTTAATCCCGGCCTGTGAAAAAGTTTCACTGGACAAATTGCTTATTCTTTTTTAACGACTCGCGGGTTGCGCAATCGAGAGGCGCTGAACTGCACGTCGCCATCTTGAAATTTGCCCGACGCGTCGGTGCGTCCTTTCGACTTAGGTTTGATATATTTTTTCTAGGTCACGGATGAGTCTTCCCGGAAAGATTTGCCCGCTATGAAATGAGATATATTGTGAAGTTAGAGAATGAAGTATTTTTTAAGAGAGAGTATAGGTTCGCAGTTAATTTTTACCTGTTATAGGACAGCCGATTCGGGTGCGCAGGTGCCATGCTGCTCGTTATGTCTCTGTCATGTATAGGAATCTCTAAACGAGTTACTATGTTACATCGGGCACTAACGACAGCTAGGGTCGAAGCAGGTTTGATTTAGGAAATATAAATCGAGGCAGGCGAAAAAGTGAAAGACGTCGATCGGGCCCAGATAGGCGAGGCTTTATCGAACCTTGCGGCGGTTACATCAACTTTGAAGGTGTGGTCCAGCGTTACCCCATACTTACACATTACTTTTGGCCCATCTGGGTCAACTTTTACAATCTCAGAGCAGTACGTTCTTGAACGCATCTCAGGCAAGGTCGCGAAATGTACGAGATTGAGCTCTCGCCGAAAGGACTCGCCATCTTGTGACATGCCAATGTCACTGAAAAGGGACGATGGTGAAGCAGAATTAATAATAATGAGGACAAAATTCATGCAAACTCCATAGACCGGCTCAAGATCGACAGAATGAATAATAATGAGGATAAAATTTATGCAAACTCCATTCACCGACTCAAGATCGACTTCTTCACCTTATTCATACCCAAATGTGAATCTCAGAACTCTGGTTTACCTATAATAATAATTGTAATAGTTAGAATAAATGTATATGAGTATTTAATAATTGTTGGAGTTAAGACTCCAATTTTGGAAATCTTGCGCGTCGAGATTTCTTGATCTTGACACATCACATGATGGCTATACATGACATGGCAACAGGTAATGACCGGGTTATTGATACTGTAACTTAATAATGTCAGGGAATGAAAAAACAGTCATTTGCAACATGAGACAAGCTTGCATCAGACAATGGTAACCGTAGCACTCCACTCCACCAGAAACTAGCACGTTGAACTCGTTGCGTCATTTACATAACGCACATTTCGTTATGTTAATTGGACAAATTGGTAGTAAGTACATGGTTACTTCTTTCGGGTTTAAAGATTAAGAATCCTTCGGTACTTAAGAAGAAAGTCAGTATTTCTTTGGAAGCGCCACATATTTTCCGAAGGTACGTCATACATCCAAATTGATTGTCCGATTGTATTGACTGTTTTCATGATCTTTAACAATAAATTACGGATTAATTTAATTACACAGCTGAATATGTGCAAAAATGTCAAACGTGGTGTTACTAGGTTTATTAAGGTAATAAAGATATTACGAGACAAAAAGTTAAAAAAAAAATCGAAAGAAAAATTTGGCTTAAATTTTGAAGAAATAAAAATCTGGATTTTATTGAAATTTATTTTGTTGATTTTAATCTCAGCAAGTAGACACACGTGTAGTCGGCCCATGCGGTTTAGACGTAACCAATGCAGTGGCTGATGCAACTCGTCTTACTTCAAATGCTTACTCTCACCACTGAATGGACACTTGATATCAGAATTTCGGAAAAAATGCACAAGGTGCTATAGACTGGTTCCCTAATGATCGAGTATAAATAGTCCGAGAGATTTGTCATATGCATTCAATTCTCTCTTTGCAGTTCAAGAACGAACTACAGCAATCATCATGTTCAGGGTAAGTGCAAACCTAAGGGAACATCGATTTTTGAAACACACCCTAAGTTCGAAAATACGTCTTTTCCAAGTTAAACATACATCTGAACAGAAAATCAGTCCCTAATTTAAACAAGCTTAGCTTAGACATTTGTATTTGCCCAATTTTCATTGTTAACATTTGTCAAGTAGCTTCGTGTCAATATAGAATTCAAAATTATACCGAGGGCAAAATAATTCATTTTCTAGTTTCCTAAGAAAATTACTCCTTCATTGTATAACTTTAACCTTGCAGGAAAAGTGCCTTTACATCAAAACTTGCTCATCCCTTGTCATTCCTCGTCACCCCGCGTCTAATTTCCTACCTAATCCCCTAGTTTGATTTTTCTTAAATATCAGATGTACAAAGAACCCACACCAGAACCTTTTAATTAGGCTAAGAAACCATAATTAAAAATTAATCTAATATTGTTCTTCAGTTCGTGGCTCTTTGCGGTTGCCTGTTGGCTGTTGCCCACGCGGGCGTAATCGGTGGCGGCCTGATCGCAGCAACCGCACCTGCAGCGGTTGCCGTCCAGCCCCAGATCTCCCTGCAACCGACGACAGCCACGTTATCCCTGCCTACAGTTGCGACCTCCTCGTCCAATATTATTCGAGGAATCGGTAATTCAGGCACAATTTCGGCCTACCACAAGACCGTCGACACCGCGTTCACTAGCGAAAGGAACGGCGACGTGCGCATTAACAATCCTGACGTGGGAATTGTGAGCGCCAGCGCGCCTGCAGTTGCAGTGACGAATACTGCTTTTGCAGGTAACATCGCGGCCATGGGACGAAGCATGTGCACGGTCTTGTCACGATGGCTTGTCCCGCGATGACACCGGCCCCATCATTCTTATTCGTCATTCTTCACACCTCGTTTTGCACATCCATCAGGCTTCTCGTTCTCCAAACCACGATAGCCCACCGGGATGCATTCTGCAGTCTGCATTTTGCACGTAATCTGGGGTAGACCCCATCAAAGATCGAATTCGAAGGAACTTGTCCGCTATAAGTGTCCGCAAGTGCCTACAATTCGTTCCTCGATGGGTGTCCGTCCCCTCCCAGCGAATCAGCTGATCGCTTTCGAGAGCATCCTAGCGGTGTACATGCTCGGTGTACATAATTAGTCTTACATAATTTCCATATCTTTTGGTCATCTTTGAAATTCGCTTGCTTCTTAGACTAGACTGCTGGTCCCCTTTTCGACACACCGCGTTTCAGCTTATTCCTTTCACGTGCTATTTTCTCCTCCGAAGCAGAATCTCCGAGCGTAATGTTTGTGATGTAGATTCTCGGTGTTGAAATGTACGGTTTAGCGAAGAGGTAAAAATTCGCCGAAAGCCATCCCGATTAGTCGTATCGAAACGTTCGATCGATCCGGATTGGGGTTGCTGTCGCCTCGAAAATTGTTGCGATCGTTTGGTATCATCTGTGCTTTTTTTTTCAATATGAAATGCTTGCATGATTCATGTTACCGTTAGATCTTTTAAGAGTGTGTAACCTGTGATACTTACTTTTTCACTTTCATACTTTAAGCCTCTCCCGTTGCAACTGCCTACGGTCTCGGTGGACCTACATTGACGACCCTTGCAACTGGCCCTGCAATCGCCACCGGTTTGGGAATCAACGGATTAGGAATCAACGGATTGGGAATCAACGGACTGGGAGTCAACGGATTGGGAGTCAACGGATTGGGAGTCAACGGATTGGGAGTCAATGGATTGGGATATGCCGGTCTGGGGCTGAACGGGTTAGGTGTTGGACATGTCAAGGTTTTGTAAATTTCTTGCAAAACCGCTCCGAAGACTCAGAAAAGATGAATTCACCATCGCCGTCTGCCCATTCGATTCTAAAGCATGTCACAGAATGTAACAATACTGAATAAAAATATGAAAATCCTGTATCTTGGCTGATTCAATTGATGATTAATCCTACCTGTCCATCATGCCTGTCGACACTTATTGCGAAAGATTCTGCGTTCGAATCAACGTTTCTCAATTCTCATTTACACCGTACCAAAACTCACTCACTGATTTAACTCGTAAATTTACGATTTAATACCGAAAGAAAATATGACCAGTATGGTTTACATCGGGTAAATATTATAAGTACGGCGAAAATTGTTTATTCGAACTTCTTTGGATTCTCCTTAGAAGCTTCAGAATTAACTGTAAAGCGATATCAGAATATCAAGTGATATAAGACATTCAATTATGAAATGACGGTACATTTTATTGGTATTATCCGAAAAGATTGAAGTTTAAAAAATTCTGACTGGTTTTTCTAGACAATGGCGCAGGGAATTCTGAGATAAAATGTCAAATTTTTCCAAAAAGTTAGATGAATACTTTATTAACAAATCCATGCAAAATCATAGAAGAAATGCATAGAAGAAATGCATAGAAGAAATACGTTAAGCACCGTATGCATCTTTCTAGATGCACAACTATTTCCTTACACGGGCCCGTGTTTTTCTGTGTTTGTTTTTGGTGGCCCTTGATATATTAAAGAAATAATTATAACATGAAATATATATTGTTATGCAGATGTACTAGGAAGATTATCCAAAAAATCGTAACTGTAATGGTAACAGAGCCAACTGGAATAACGATCACGAGTTCAACTGAGACTGATAGACAAACAGTTACCAAATGACAATCAGTTGAAGGCTCACAATGAATAAATTTCTATGCTCATTTTTGAAGCACCTGCATTAACCATCTATCACTGTTCAACAATGGTAACACAATGGTAGCACATTGGTAACACAAAAATCAAAAGTAACTTAGCTGGAAATAAATAATCAAGATCGCAAAATTGTGCTCCGAGACGTTTCTCTCAAATTCAGGGGAAAATGAAGACCTTTCGTTCATGCAAAACCACTCCATCGAAGATAATAATAAGTTAATCCCAAGAAATCGCTTGCAAAGAAATATATAAAATATATTAAAATATTAATAACGACATGGATAAAATTACGCGACATCCACATTTAAAGATCTCTTTGAGATTCGCAGCGACTGTTTCTCTTCAGGCAGGGGTTCAGGTAAGAAGTCATGTTTTTCCCAAAAGTCAGATGAATAATTTATTAACAAAGACAGGCATAGTCATTTACATATGAGAAATCACGTTGTAGGAATGGGTTTACCAGGAGTAGGAGATGCCAACGGGGCTGCTGTAGGTCATGTGAGATACAGCAACTGCAGGTGAGTAAGCGACGCCGAGGAGGCTTGCACCGTGGGCAACAGGTGCACCGTAGCTGACAGGTGCAGGGATGGCGGCCTTAGCGTAGATCGGGGCGGATGCAACTGCAGGTGCAGCGTAGGCCAGGGGGGCGGCGTGGGCGTAGATGGCGGGATTGCTGACGCGGATGTCGGACTTGCTGCTGCTGGAGAAAGGAGTAGCGATGGTCTTCGATTGGGTGGCGACTTGAGCGAGGTTTCCATGGCTGCGCAAGATGTTATCAGAGGTCGAGGTCAGAGCTGCAGGTGCAGCGTAGTGGACGGGTGCGGCATACTGCACCGCCGGGGCGCCGAGAAATCCAGCCTGGGACACGGCCAGGACGCAGGCGAGGATGGCGACCTGAGAATAAAAAATATGAAAATTCAGGGTGATAAGTGTCTCAAGTTCCAGCTGAAGTATATCCGTGATTATGATAAGGAATAGCTACAGACTGACGGGGATTTAAAAACGATTTTTTTATCTCTATTATTAATAGGGATTTTTAGATCGTGACTCGGTAGAGAATTGAGAATTATATAATGAAATAGGCGGAGTAATGTGGGTAATTTCTACTTTTAAATTTGCGAGATTCTACTGGGCGACTACGAACCGATGCAAATGTCGGTTTCTGATCGAGACTTAGTGTTAGGACCTACCTTGAAGAACATTGTGGATTGTTTGTTCGACGTCTGCGAAAGAGTGTGATACTCAGGAGGGCTGACTCGAAATCTTATATACCTTGATCTCCATGTAAGTCTCAAAGGTGGGGTACATGATTCCCCTGATCTCCCGAGGCGTTAACCAATGCCGAAGACTTTCGCTGGGATCGCATGACTCGCCCGGTACTGACAATCGTTTCCTCCCTGTCGGATCTGGCTAATTTGGAACAGCCTTGGACCGGCCAGGATATGTCCGAGGAATCCACTCGAAATTGGCTTCAAACGAACCGCCTCCAGGTTTGCCCTTCCTACACTTGATTACACCTCGACTTTACCTTCTTTCTTTCTTCGTGTCGGCAGAAACCGAGGTTTTTCGAGCAATGCAATGGGCTTTAAAAATGTGGTCCTGCGAGTCGATGCAATCGCACGTATTCAATTTGGATTGCTCCGGGCGACCTTTGCATGGAAACGAAATAATTTTCGACTTAAACGCACATCGGAGATAATTGTAATTGCGCAATCCTTTTTCAGGTTCTTCTTGCAGGGGCATTTCGACTCGTTACGTCAATTTTCAAATAAATTTAAAAGATTAATGCTCGGTACTGCACGCACGCAAAGTAGTCGCTTATTGCAAATGAATTACTTTGTAGAACGCACTTTTGAGCGACATTAAATACGTTGATATCACAATTATTACCCGAAATATGTGATCGAGAAACGTCGCTTTTATGGTGTCGGTTGTGAAAGATGGCCAAAGATTGTCATCGCGACTTGAAATATTTTATTGCCGAATCGAAACAGATGTTGAGGGCACGCATGAGAATTATTTCGCTTCTGAGTACATGCGAATTGTGTAAAAGTGTCGTAAACCGAATTTACTCTTCCCCTGAGGGTGCTATCTCGTTTTCAGGACAAGAAACCCACGGACGATTTCAAACCTACATCGGATTATGATTTCGTTTCACAATGCGCAATCTGCTTTGTGTAGATGAAATCAGCAATAAAACTCGGAGAGTAAGCAAGAAAGAAATTGTTACGATATTATGAACTAATAAATCGAAAGGAAGAAAATTAATTAAGGGGCCTTGATATTCAAGCCGTTCGAGCTGAATCGATCGTTGCATTTCTTTCTTAATTAATGTGTACCTTTTGACAATTATTATAACTTTACAATGTTGCTATATTTATTGCGAGATGACGGTTTATCGATTGTAACATCTCGCCAACGCGATTTCGGTTTCTCCTCCATTCTCTTAGGTTGGCATTTAGACTAGAAGACGCGCGAAAACGCCGATTCATTGATTTAAGTTTCTATTTCTGTGCTGTGTTATGATAATGTTACTGGACATTTTTTAGTGGCACCTAGAAAGTGTCTTAGTGACATATTTATAATATGCATGCCAATATATTCGTTACGACATAAGTATGCTGGACGATCAGAGCCAGAGGAACTTGTATCCTTGAAGGGCAAGCTGGAGATCCAATAGACTTAAGATATTCGATACACCCGATATGATTTTTAAATATTGATATCATTGAGCTCTGGGTACACAGGATACGTCTATTCATTGGGCAATAACCTGTGATAGGAAAAATGCAGGTCTGAATTCCACGAATAACTTTCTAATAATATACAACAGGATGCATGAAGTACGAAAGTTTATTAAAAATACAACAGAGTGCACGAGGTACAAAAGTTTAAAAGTTCAAGGCGGCCGACTGAAGTATCTTCAAGGTACCTTTAAGACTGATCCCGTTTTCTTCACGCGAACTTTTCTATTTGGTTTATTTTATGCGTATATACAATACATATGTACGTCTACGACAAGGAGAGATAAAATAAGCGGAAATGTGTTTAAAATTTTATTTATAATCTCATTAGGGATAACACAAAACGCAGGACAAACACACGCATAACTGCAAACTACAGTAACAGTAAATCTTCCCTGAGCAGTCAATAGCACACTTATAAATGGCATTTATGTTACAAAATTGTTAATAGTAATCCAAGGAACTTTAATCGCAGACGAGAAGACCACAACGGGCTGATAATCAACAGTTACAAGTTGCTTTCCTAAAGCATGGCAACACTTTAGAATATTAATAAAACCTGCATAATGCCCCGGCATTATCATAAATCTGAAGAGCGCAACATTTGTGGTCATGATTTGCAACTCCTGGCAAGTAACCTAGTAACTTAAACGTAATTAACGCATGCAAGGAATTACTTCCAGGCATAATTAACGTGATCGTTAACATTGCTGTACGTGAGATGAGCAACTTCATTGGCAGGTGAAAAAGCAAATACATGTTGATGAGTAGGAGCTGCAACATGTGCAGTCGGGGTGTATCCAGCTGCAGGCAAAGCCAGGGTGTTACCGTAGCTGACAGGTGCAGCGTGGGTGTATGCAGGTGCAGTGTAAGCTACCGGGGCTTGATGAGCCACGCCGACAGGTGTAGCGTATGCAGTTTTGGCAAGTACAGGTCCTGCATACACGGGTCCAGAATGGGCTACAGGCACGGGGTAGTTGAACGCTTGACCTGCAGATGCGTGTGTCGCGTACGCTGCAGCAGGTGCATGCGCCGCATACGTTGCAACAGGTGCATGCGCCGCATACGCCGCAGCAGGTGCAGCGTAGTTGACTGCAGGCAATGCGTTCACCGCGTAGCTGAACGCAGGTGCAGCGTGGTTGGCGGAAAGAGGAGCGTTGGCGTATATAGGAGTTGCAGCCGTATTGTATGCAACTGCAGGTGCAGCGGTAGCGTAGACGGTCGGGTTGCTGACGCGAACGTCACTTTTGCTGCTGCTGGAGAACGGCGTGTTCTCCATTTTCGACTGCGTCGAGACCTGCGCCAAATTTCCGGAACTTCTATATGTATTATCGGATGTCGTCGTCACTGCCACCCCCGCGTTCGCCACCGAAAAAGCGGCGCACAGGATTACGAACTGAAATAAAAAAAAAAGTATCGGATGAAATCACAGAAATTTCTTATTTACGAAGCCCTAAGTAGACATAACGCAATGCAGATCGACAAATCATTCGAACACGATTTTACACGATTTTAGGGTTACTAATTATCCTGGCACTGGTAATGACTATTACTTAAGCATCATATTCGAACTGAGCCTAAGTGTCAACGCTGCGAGCATGTACGATAATACAAGTAACTGGTGAACGTAAAATAATGCTTCCCAGAATTAATATCGGGTTTTGTAAGGAATTCTCAAATGCAAAGTATTTTTTGTACTCTGCAAGAAAGTTATAGGAAATTTTTTGCGTATTGTTCGAAGTGATAAAATTATCTGGTAATTGGTGTAGGTTGATTTTAATAACTCTTACCGCGATGGCCATTGTTTTTTGTGTGGTGATGAGTTCTTAAGGGCAGAGAAAGAGGATATACCGAACTGATGCGACTTTCGTCGCCAGCGCCTGCTTTTATACCGGTACATCGGACTTTCTTCGGGTAGTACACCGACTCTTTCCCACACCGGAAACTTTCCCCGCCCTTGCTCGAATACGTCTCATTCATTCGCTTGCCAAACTCTACCGATCTCTGCTCTTATTTCCTGGTTACAATAACCGAGCGGCTGTTTCGTAACGGCGTGTCGCACTCTGTCGACCAAGAACGGCAAAGTGAACCGCATAAGAGGACATGTTCCCTCAAAACAATCGATTTAAAAAATAATGACTAATGTTGAAACCATCCATTCGATTTCCAAATTTCATTGCATTTCATAGCAGGTCGGAAAAAATTCAAGAGTCACATTTATCGGGAAGATTTTCGCAGGGTAGAAAATCTAGGATAGAAAACTAGTAGAAATTAGGCCGATCTCGAAAATCCGGCGAATCGGCGAAACGTTTGCGTAATCACTGCAGGACTTATTACGCGCCCATTTATCGTCATAAACGTGAGAGCCAGGCTTTTGCCCGGGGTAATGCTCGTAATGTTCTCGTCCACGTTTATGTAAAGGAGCATAGACAAGCAACGTAACGATGCTGAAAATCGCTGGCCAAAATAGACCTGACTATCTGCGAATGTACTCCGATCCGTTTACGGTTTCCTTTTTAGGACAGGTAAATTAGAGTCTCTGTGTTTTTCTTTTCTTTCAGGGGCGCGCGTGGAGTGGAGCTCATCGCTTTCTTATCGATTGCAAACGATCGGTGAACTATTTATGATCTACGGAGAAACAATGGTGACTACGCCTTCCGAAAGGCTCGATTAATTTTTTAATCTCCACTTTCATCTCTGAATCTGGAACGCTTGGAGACAGGCCACGCCTGATTGTTGGACCAGCAGCAGCCTCCGGCAATCTTGAGTGATAGAACGTCCAAGTTTTTACGAAATACGTCACACACGACCAGAAACGAGATCCCCGAAGGAGTTGTTCCTTCCTGGCAAGGTTTGTGGACCTGGAGCTCGAAATTCCTCGTTTGTTTCCCTGTAAAGTGTTTTATTTTGGGATAGAGTTACATCTTCGTTTGCAGGAGTCGACGGACGAAGGAAGCATTTTGGGGAACATTCGCGCTTGTCGTTAAAAGTGTGACCTCCAAAATGGCGCTGATAACAGGGGGGATGATGGGAGAGAATAGACTCTATGATGCATTAGCGAAATATGTCAATTATGTAATTTATAGCGCCTTAAATCTCTAACGCTACAATGAATTACCATGCGCGCGCGATCCATTGTCCGACGACGACCACTAAATAGATAACGACGAAACCTTTTCGCTTTCCTAAAAAGAATTAGCAATTCGGATTTCCCCCACAGAGCCCTCGAAATTTGCACAACGCTACGTGAGCGAGATTCGTAAACTTCACCGATTCGGTGACGCAACTCGCCAAACCATGAGAAAAATGTCCCAGAGAACCGAAGGACCGGCATACGGATAATCCCCAAGGAACAACAATTCCAACCGATTCAAAAATCTTCATTGACACTTAAAACCTGCAGGAAGAGCCTCCCCGAAAACGATACCCGATGAAAATGGCGAAAGTTTACCCAAAGCAGGAGAAACCACGGAAAATGTCCGCAGCGAGCACTTCTTCGAGAACCACTTTACGAGTCCTCTGATCACTGTTAACTTCCTTCCAGGTTAATCTCAGATATATTAAATTTTCTTAAGGGGAGGGATATTAAAAAACGTGCGATCTACCAGCCATGTTCAACCCCTATAGGTCTGGGGTGCCCCATGTGGTTAACCGTGAACGCAGCTGCAGGGGGAAGAGTTCCTCCGTATGCAGTCAGTGGATAGGAGTGCCCATAGTTCAGTTGATAAGGGTGAACGTAGTTGCGCTGATAAGAACGTACGAAGTTCAGACGATAAGGATGCGCGAATGCAGGCTGATAAGGGCGAGGGTAAGCAGCTACACCTGCAACTTCAGGGGTATGTGCCCCTGCACTGGAGAGCGTATGTACACCTGGGACTGTAGGCACGGGCACAGGTGCAGGTAAATGTCCGGGTGCGTGTCCAGGGACAGGTACAGGTACTGGTGCCACTGCAGGATGAGAGGCGATGGGAGAGTAACTAGTCTTGCGCAAGTAATCCGGAGTGACCACTTGGACGGTGGGCTTCGCAGCTCCCGTGTAGGGTGTCTGCAGGTTCTTCGTGTACGCAGGTGTTGGTACGAGATCACCATACGTTTGCAGCAGATTCGGATGATGGGGCATCAGGGTCGGAGCCGGTATTGTCCCGTAATGACCATAGATAGGCAATGGGCTCCCATGATTGAGGTACGCCCTCGCGGCCACCGCCAAACTTGCGAAGGCTAACAGCTGAAACGAAGGACGAGTTACTTTTTATTGCCAAGCTGGTTCACATTGAGTCTTGATACTTGTTTAATCATTTAATAAAAAATGTTAATCGATGTAATAAGCAATAGCCTGCCCATTAACGATTCCATGAACGATGGACCCATTGTTGAGATACGCACCCGCGACCATTACCAAATTTGCGAAGGCTAACAGCGGGAACGAAGGACGAGTCAGTTTTTATGGCCAAGGCTGGTTGGCATTGGGCCTTGATATTTGTTTAATAATGTAATAAAAAGCTGTAATCGACGTAATAAACAGTAGTCTGCTCGGTAACGATGCACGTCCATCAGAGTCCTCGATTTGCGCGTTTACTGCTTATGTATTCATTTGTACTTTTCGTTTTGCGCACTTCCATCCGCTTAACGTTTCCTCGGAATTAATGAAAGAGGTTGTGAACAAGAGTTGTTTCAGATAACGCGTGCTGAATTGACAGGACACGTTGACTCTCTTATACCGGATTACTGTAAAAGGTACCCGTGAAGAGCACAGCTCGCGAGAAGGCGCAACCCCCCTTAATCGATCTTTGATTACAGGTACAAATTGGTCACGTCCTGTCAACGTGGATTTACCTTGAACATGTCGCAGGTGGACGTCAATTAGCAGAGGTGGAAGACCCAAGGGACTGATCCTGGATTTTCTGCGCGATCAGGCGTGTCCACCGGTATTTATACCGTAGGTTTGCAAATCCCTAGAAACTGCAATAGAGGTGGTGCATTTGGTGCATGCAACCTGCGGAAGAGGGGATGCAACGCCGTAACCTGCGTTTGCTGGTGTGCACTCATTTTTCCAATCTAACCTGCACGATCAACCTAATTTATCATGGTCTGTGCTGCATATGGAGCGTTGTCACCGATAAATTGTCACGATTTTCTACGTACATATGCTTTCTCGACGAGGCCATTTTTCAACCCCCGAGGGCATTCGTAATGAACAATTTGACGTATACCTATCCGAGTTGGGTACCGTAAAACTCGCTTTAAACGGCCGCTCTAAGTGGCCCATTTTGAGAATTATTATTAATTCTTCGTCTAGGAAAAAAAATTGACTGAATTTTGGAACGACTTCGGGACCGTTCTGTCCAGTTCCCCTGGAGGTCGCGCGCTTGTTGGCCTGATCAGGAAATTTTTAATACAGTTTAATAAATTTACTTGTGTGCTAAAAGTCTATCTAATGAGCTTCGTGTTGTGCTGCCCTATCGAGAGCATGGTATAATATTTCCTGGCCCCAGGGTTGGGTCTCGCAATGTCCGCTAAACCGAACCGCCCGGGGACTGACCCAACTTCCATTTTTTATCCTTTTAATAACATGCTCCGATACGAATCTTGCGCGAAATGGCATTACGTCGTCAGACGTAACTGCCGCAGGTCATGCGTTTTCAGGAAAATTGGCTGTTAGGATCTTCGCCTGTGAATTCTCCCTCGTTTGCTCCAATTGCTTCGGCTAATTTGCGCTTAGCATATAGCTGGTCCTAGAATTGACGAGCAATTATTTACGATTATTTCTCGAGTTTTCTCGCGCATGTTCCGTAACCTGACAGACATGTGCTCTTTATATCCTTCGTTGCGCCGCGCTTTATGGGACCGCTCTTTTAATGATAAACCTTGCTCCACTCTCTAGCAGGGATTGGTTCCTTTCCATGAATATTTATCGACGAGTGGGCATCGGATTCTAGATCGTTTCGCGGGTTTAATCCGATGAAAAGGTGAGGTACAGTGAAAGTGCTTTTTCGGGTCCTAAAAGTGTCTCTTCTGGTGGCGAACCACACCTATTCCCTCGGGCTAAGGCCCAAATTTCCAGCCTACATACGTATCACTGATAATGAGACGGCCGTAAAAGTCCTTTCACGGCATACGAACACGTGCGGTTTTTTTTTACTACTTGATATTAAAGCAAGAAGAATTCTCAAGCTATAATCTTTACCACGAAGCCCAGTAATTGCGCCGATAATTATTTTGCAAAATATTTTCCACTACCCAACATAGATTCCTAGGACGCAAGACGAAGAAATAAAACAAGATATCTTTCACATGTATTTAACACGGTATCCTCTATACGACTAGATACATACAAATTATTTACTCATTTACAGTGTAGTATAATATAATTAACGTACGATAAACAGATAATACCCTAATTCGTTATCGGTGGTTGTGATGTACTCCAAAACGCTTCATCCCTCCGCTACTTAATTACGCAATCGGTTTATTGAGCATTTCATGTTCGTATCGTGACGAAAGGAGAGAAAAGGGGATTACGATTGAATAATCAACCAATATCGCCAATGCATCCTTACAAGTACCAGTTTGATTGTTTACATCTAGCAAGGAGAATAATTATTTTTCTTTAATTATTCTGTGACCTCTCATTAGCTTCCCTGGTTTGATTGGTTTGATCCGCAGGCCTTCTTTGGGTTCTCCCAAATGTGCAGGTAATTATATTGGTGATGTAGCTGGTACCAGCTGAAATAACCGTATTTTGGGTAGGATCAGCTGATCTTTCGGCAGGAAGGGCCTCGATAGCTTTGTCTTCCTTCGTCGTGGTCACCAAGGATGGCACCAATTTCAACGTCAGAGTATTTACGGGATGTATTTGTCTGCACTGACTTCCAGCTACCAAATGGGTACTAGTTTGCGCCATGGTGGAGGAATACTGTTCCGGATGGTCAGCTGTTTGTCCAACCTGTGTCATTGGTTGCACCTGCTGATTAAAGGGACTTGATTGCACTGCGACCGAATATGGCGGAGGATTGGAAATCCTTCGCTCATCCGATCCCACGTTGGCTTCTTCAGGGGGTTGTTGATGAGGAAATCCAACTGCAGGAGAGACTCCCATGATCGTGGAGTATGGTGGTGGCAGATCCGTGATCCAATAAGTTTGGTACTCCGGTGGCCTTATGATCTGAAAGACGATTTAGACACATTTTATCGTGATAACACGCTAAGTTGTAGGCATTAATAGGTCCTGCCGAATTTCTATGCTTGGTGTTTCTTATCGTTTTAATTAATATTGAAAGATTTATCTGCTCGGTTAATTGTATAACTAGATGCTGCTGATTACGAGGGATAAGTTGACATGCACCTGAACATGACCATCGACTTCTCCGGAGATGGTCTCGATGTCCACCACTTGTCTTCTTCTGCGTTCCATTTCAGCCCTGGAAAGTGCATTCGCCTGCACTTTCTTAGCTGTACAAGCGGCGTAACCGCAAGCAATCAGGAAAAGCATGGTGAGGACTGTCATAGCGATCCACACGTATTTCCACCCTAATAAAACCGAGGCAACCATGGCTGCTCCTATCCAAGCGACCACCAGAGTAACCAATGATCGGCCTGAGCAATCAGACCCCTACAAATTAGACATCCTTTAATTTTATTCACCCATTATGAACTATTTGCATGTAACGCATCAGTGCTCACGTTACATGCCTTTAGAAATAATCTAGACAAATGTATGAACGTGAAAGATCATTATCGAACAGTCAGTAGTAAATGCAAGCTTTATGTTCCCTACATACATTGGAATAATGTCTCTTTTTATTTTCTCTTCAGATAATGAGTTTCAACTTCATTTGTTTGCGTAAGAAGGCACTTTTTACGCATGCCTTGCTTGGATTAACGGAAATAGGAAACACGAGTATAGAGTAAAATAACAGTAATTAAAAAAGTGTTCCTAGTTAGTATACCTCTAGCAAAGTTGAACAATTTTTCAAAGTCACAGCGAAGCAGCTTATGTTTTTCGTTATTTGTTAGCAATACCCTAGTTAGCGATAATTCCATATCGTGTTAGTTGTGCGTTAGTAATTCATTAGTTGTTAAAAGACTGCAAGTTTTGACATTCATCGCACAGAATAATTGCAGCAGCGAAGAGAAAGTCGGTGCGCACGATTTAATTGAACATTTTCAAACTGTATCGAAAGTCAATGTAATGTGTATAGAAAAATAGTCTGATCATTAAAACTTTGACACCTACTCTGTACTCGAAGGGATTGATTGAATCGTCCATTGTGGAGTATCTAATTGGCAATCGATCCAATCCAGTGGATCCTCGCATATTTTACCCTTTCTGCAACGAGAGGAAAAATCGAATTTTGAGTCAATCGAAATTCCATCGTACATTCGAGCCCAATTTCCTTCACTAATTAACACCTCCGTAACGAGAATTCCCCACTAGGCGCAATTGATTTTTTATAACAGTTTTTCGATAATTAATCTTAACGATCAGTTTCGTACCAAACGAGAGTGAAATTTTATCCCTCTATCAGATGCTCGAAATTAACTCCATCCATTTATTGACTCAATACATCACTTTTAATTCCTTCATAAAAGGCGGTGTTTACCGCCGAAGAGAAAGCTGATATGATACTTATTATCAGGAAATCTCGAAAAAATAAAACAATACCGCAAAAAATAGCGCTTCATTAAAGAAACAATCTTAAACCCAAGATATTTCGTCTAAGCTGATTAAAGGCGCACTTTGCTATCACTTAACTCATTTCCAGAAAATGGGAAAAATTCTCTCAAGTATTTCATGCTTCCTACTACATTATTTCCTGTACGAAAATATGTATTTTCACGTTATTTAGCAAAATGTAAAATTTCAAGCGTGGAAGTAATGATGAAATTCATATTTCTCCACATTTGCATTGTCGAACGAGCAATTGGAATTGAAAGTTCGTTGTCGTTCTTTCTTCTAGCACATTTATAATATGTGGTACAAATCGTCTGCTGATTTCGCGTTGAATTATACATGCGTAATTAATCCCGTTTGCATTAATATTACGTGCGTAGTGCCGACCAAGCGTACAAACCAAACAATGAAATTCGTTATTTCGCCAGCTTAACGTGACGTGGACCAAGCGACGTTAGTTCAGAATAAGAGTATTCGATGTTAAACACAGAGCTGGGAGAATTTAGCGAGAACAGATTGCGAAAACGACCGAACATACGTTGCCAATGTGCTGATAACGGCAGGCTGGTCTTCTCACCACATCGGTACCAGATTCAAGGTATGCACGATGAATGCTATAGGTCAGTGGCATTTTCGATTATGGAGTAAATCACTTCCCCGACACCTTCGAATGTCTAAATCACTTTTGACCTGCCTTTAAAGCATTCGACATTAGTTTTTCCTCGGGATGGGTATTAAAATCAAAATATAAAGGGCGCCTGCACGTCCAGAGGATACATTCATCGAAGTGGTCTCTTGTTACTTCTCTTTTTTTTCTTTTTCACTAATGTTAGTAAATTTAAATCATTCCAATTGTCTGGGTACACGCGAGGTAAATTACTCACCACCATGAAGAGAAGGAACATCCTCGGTCCAGGACGAAACCTTCCTTGAGATGTTTATCAAAACGTAGATAACTATTTTCTTGCACCGAGCCGTAGAAACGAAAAGTTTCGAATTAACTTCATCCCGTTATTTGATCGTGTTATCACATTGCAACCGAGTTATCTGTTGAACGTAGAAGGTGGAGATTAGAGCATAAAGGAGATAGTATTGCGCCGAGATTTTTCCCTAGATTTAATACTAGCGCAAAAGGCCTTTGTCATGTTACGTCAAGTCAATCGTCACACGGAGTTCTTAGGAACGGGGCGATAAGGAGAAGGTATCATCCCGCCTACAATACCTGGGGAAGGAATTCTTTTCTCTAAGGTCATTGTCATTCGACGGCGATATCAATTGACAATCGCCTCGACTTTACTCGGCAACTTCGCAGTATATTTTCAGGCGCAGATTCAATGAAGTCTCGTCCTTTCAGACATTTTCCTCGTATTGGACTCTTCCTCATTTCGCAACGTCAATGAAGACGTCCACAAAAATTCAGGAAAAACTCACCGAAATGATCTCGGAAAAACCATTTCTAATTGGGTTCATTAAAGTCCAATACAAAAGAACTTGGTAGTTCGGGTAAATTTGGGAGGCTTGTGTTTGAGAGAAATGTGGAAATGTACATCGAGCGTGAAAGGACTTGGAAGTTTTGATCGACTTCGGGAAATTGTGGAAATAATCGAGTTTGAGGAAATCGGGAAATTTTATTTCCGCGCGACTTACGGTGCAGGTGCAAGTTTACGGGTTCATAGCGACTTCCTCTGGATGTTCTTCGTGCAACTTCAGAGGACCGCTTCTCCTGTTACATGCTTCACGGGGTCTGCAGAAACTCCCTCGCGGAACTTCGGCAGTTCGGGGTGCACTTCGCGAGGTCACATCTCAGGAAATCGCGCGGCTGTTCCCTTCGGCCGCGGGCGAAGTTCCGACGAATCTATTCGGTGAAGAAGACGCGAAGGATTTGGTAAGCTGGCCGGAGTAAAACTGAAGGTGTCGACTTTTCAGGACTCCCCGATGTCTGATAAGAAGATAAGACGGGCGACCCCCCGCACCCCTCCCGCCCACTCAAGTCCAGAATTCCATACGAAATTGCAATTCTGAGTCGATGAGCGACCTTATCTATTTACTCGCTTCTTCAGATAAAACCGATCGGCGGTGTTCGCTGACCTTGTTCGTTCAGTGAAGTTGCCTACGAAGTGTTTGCACCTCGTAAGACACCTAACATCTCCGAAGACTGGTGAATCGTTTCAAAATTCATGAAATATAACCCAAAGAACGCCTTAAATTGTGATTTCCTTGACTTTATTAACTATGATGCGTAAACAAAAATTGACCTGTATGGCGCGTTTCTTGTGAATGACGTACATTGATTTTTATAACGCTGCCAAACGGTAAGAACTAATTCGTACTAATTAGTATGTATTTTTTTCAGGAAGAACACTCCTCGTCGCCTTGTCTTTATTGCGTAGAGGCATTTAAGAGACCGTGATTAAAACTGTACGATAAGACGGTATATCGCACCTACCTCGCCGATGAAATTGTGCTTTAGGCGAGGCTCACACTTAATTTATTTAAAAGCGTTCTATTAGTGCTAGAAGCGAGTTTTGAACACGGGTTAGATAGATGTTCACTTTCCTGGACATTATAGGTCATAAAACCATGTCGCGAGTAGCCGTAACGCTGGGTACATTCGTAATACACATCGTTTAAATATTGTTGCAGCTGCGCGGCACATTCAAAATTAATGAGGGAACGTCTCGAGCATATTTAATTTGACAGGCCAACGTAACGTTTATCAGAGGCGCGATTAATGATTAATAAGAATACGATCCATAAATCTCTAACATTAAACTGCTATGTAATTTCATTTTCGCGTTTCGCCCATCTAACAGCCAGAGTTTACGTAACGTTTAATAAAAATTCCCTCGTTTCAGAAGGTATTCTTTTTTCCTTGAATAATCTGCGTCACGACAAGTGTCGTAAAAACGCGTTGTCACAGATGTTGCCTTACAATGAATTTTGGTTCCAAAGATAACGCTCTTTAGTTTTAACTGTTTTATTTTCGAATAATCACTTCTTACATAACTTAGTACATAACATATTGCAGAAGTCTAGTAGTTGTTTATTTCTCGCTCCTATTTTTGAAAATTGTCCCGTGCGTTCCGTAGGTCTCGAAGACCGCCATTTTGGAGGTGTAAAAGACGTGTCAAAAATCGTGTCCTTCACAGAAGTCTTTACAATACCTTAAGCTATGTTCCTGACATCGATTAACGTTTATTAAAGAAAAATTGGAATTAATCGGTTAATAAAATACCTTAACAAATAATTTAAGTACCATTCCGAGGCATGCAAGTGATCCGAGGGACTCAGTCTTTTCTCGTAACTGAAAGAAATCTAATGTTTTATTAAAAAGGACAATTTGTGTTAATTAATATCTTCAAGACACGGAAATGACAGCGAGCGGTTTTCAAGTTAAAGTACATTACACCTCGTTGTCGTTCACATATGTACACGCACTCACTTGGATCATTCACACTTAACGCGCTATATATATATGTACGATAGTTAGCGATAATTGTTAATACTTTGCGGTTAATAGTTCGTTTATTAATTAAGGGCTGTAATTGTTAAGAGTTAATGGTAAAGAGAGTGCGAATATCAATCAGGGTCCAAACAGAGGAATGCATCGATTGTTCAATACGGTGACATCGAGGACAAGCCTCCTCGTGGTAATTCCAACAATCGATTAGCTCATCGACTTCGCACTTTTGTGTAATAATCGCCATTTTTGATCGATAACCCGAAGTGCAAAATGACGAGCGCGATTGCCCGATTATACGTATCCTTGCATGCGTTATCCAATATCACTGGGGCGATAACGCAGATAAAGAAGTGAACTTCTCCGGTAAGTATGCCTCGAGAGACTTGGCAAGGTTTTGAACGATAATTAGATGATATAATTGACGTTTCGGTGAGGATTACAGGAATTACAGGACACCGGCCCTCGCGACACGGCGAGCTGAAAATTCCGGAACTCAAATGCAGGTCGAGCTTCCCGAATTTTCACGTGAGATATTCCTCGGCAGATCGTTTGGACGATGATCGAGATTTACTTTTGATCATTTTCCTTTTTAAGGGGACGCGGGGGCGTGAAATTAGGAGAACGGAGTGATCCGAGGAGACTCGATTCGCCTCGATTCCGTGCCCAACAAAAGCGACCTCGACCTGAGCACGCCTTATCGACGTCAAGTGACACCGTTGGATTCTCTCATAATTCATGACCTTAAAAATTAATTCCTCAATTGCACTTCTATAATGTATCGCAAACCCATCTTTCTTCAAGGTGGTCTTCAAGGACTCGCTCAGATCTGGGAAAAGAGACTCGACGAGCCCTTTACTAAGATCGCTGCCAGGACACGAAAAGAGATGATCGTCGTCCTAACCACGCGCCCGTAAATAAATAACGTTACTGGTACCATAACCGACTTTTCTTGAGTGTCTTACACCTACATAGTGATCCTCGTTCACTTCCCTCCTCCAATTTCATCCAGCGCGGTCCAGCATCCGCACCTGCAGGACGCGCCTAGAAGATACGCTATGGTGACGCGCATTTTCATCTTTACTAAAGCTTTAGAAAATGCACCATGCACGTAATCATCACCCTGCAACCGACAGGTCGTGCCCACCATCGCCGGTTCCTGAAGAGATGCAGACATGACGTCCGCACAAGTACGACACATCAGGATGTACGTACATACCGTACGACATGTCGCTCGGAAAATTGTTCTCCAGCTTGACATCACAATTACCTACGAACATCTCGAGCTATAAACAGCACGTTGAAAAGAGTTAAAGGAAAAATCCCCAGCAACAAGAGGAGCGCGCCGAAGCCTCTTCGGCATTACGACGTTGGAAGTTCCCTTCTTAATCCTGAACAGAGTTGAAGTCTCTGTTGCAGTGATTTCCGAATTTTGGAGTCTCACGAAGGAACACTAGAACTTAGTGCGGTCTGAAATGTGGTCATGCTGCGATTTGACGAAATTGTAGTGCAAGATGGATCCACCGAAGGAACGATGGCGAAGTAATTTCAGGCTCGGAAGGCAGTAGGATCGCAGCGGACGAAACGTGGAAAGATGGCTGGTCCAGATTTGGGCATTTCGACTCGAGGGAGAGTTAGAAGCAACGAGTCCCGATTTTGTGCACTCGAGTTCCCGACGAAGGTCCGAGGGGAACTCGGTTCTTCGTCCCCTCTTGCGATGCGAGGCCGAGGAGATGACTTCTGTGAACCGAGTTGGCCTAAATTTAGGGCAGTAGTCTTGGATTGAACCGCCCCATGTGGAGGATCAAACCGGTGGGGTTGTGTCGCACAAAGTAGAGGAATGGTCGGTCCAGCTTGAGCCTTGGCTTCTCAAGATGGTCCATCTGCCTTGCCGTCCTGTCGGGGTCCGCGGGTTCCGTGGAATCCTCGGATTCCTCGGAGACCTGGGAATTTGTGGCAAATTGGCTTCCATTCTCCGAGTCGACGTTCCCTGTCGGGTCGGACCAGTCGTCCGAGTCGAACATCTCTCTCGAGTTTCTCAAAGGACTCGCCGGGTAAACCTCCACGTGGTGTCTGCCGCTCATGATGTTCTCCTCCCCGCAAGTGCTGAACAGGTTCAACTGAAAAGCGAGTACATCAATTCATTAACGTCCAATTGTTCGCTTATTAAACAGGATTTAGCTGGGGTGAACGAGGAAGAAAAAGTAGAAAACATCAAGACAAAGCTCACCTGCAGGATGTCGGCCAAGTGGAAGTTGTGTCCAACACCATTGATGCCCTTCAGATCGGCGTGTTTGGAGAACAGCTCCTCCAGGCCCATCCTCTTCAGAGCAGCCGTGGCATTTATCACAGATCTATGGCTAAACTTAGGAATCTGCAGTTCTAGGCCAGGCCTGGGGGCCAGCACCTTGAGCAGCTTGTTCCAGGACCCCTGCCCAAACGGAGTCTGGAGGAGCCTCTCCTCCAACCGCTCCAGACTGTCTCCTGGAGCTGTATGGCCCTGCTGTCCAGGGATGACAAAAATGGTGGACACCATCTTGTCCAAACCACCCAGAGCGACCGTAGTGGCATCCAGACCCGGCTCGTACCCAGCCAGGACTCCCGTTCTCCAAACGGTGGCTGGAACCGGAACCAGCTTCCTCTGTCTAACCGCAGGAGAAACCGCAAAATACAATTCCCCATCTCGACCTTCCGAGCTAGCTGCACTGGTGTTGCAGTCAGTCTGGAACACATTCGCCGAGAGAGCAGCCAGAGGCGACCTCAAGGGAATCGCGTTGGTCTTGACGAAATCCTTGATACGACCCCCTGTCTGCTTCCTGACTAGCAGATTCGTCCTCCTCCTCACGATATCGCTGATGGTAGCGAAGTTGACTTCCGCCACGATCCCCTCGTAGAATTGTTGAGCCTGCTCCTTGTAGAACGGCAAGAGCTTCCGCACCTTCACTTTATCAGCGAAAAGCTCCCTGACGAAGGCGGCGTTCGCGATGCCCTGGTTCCTGGCCAGGCTGACGGTGTCGGTGACATTTTGGAAGACCAGGTGAGGATTAAAGGTAGCCACATCGTCCAGCTTCAGCACGTCGTTCATTTGGTTGGACGTGGGACCACGTGCTCCCAGGAAAACCATGGCCAGCAAGCTCGTCATGCCGAAAGGTGAGAGAGCTAAGGACCTGGCAGTGCTGAGGCCCTTATTCGTCGAGGTCCAGAACTTGAAGGCAAGCTCGTTGCAGAGGGCCACGAAATAGACGATGTCCTGGTCCAGGTTCTTGGTGCTTCCATCTAGACCAGTTGCGGTCTGGGACGTGTCCAGAAAGACTGAAGGCTGATGCTGGGGTCGCTTATGGGTACCATTTGTGGCAGACTCCATGGGAGGTTCCTGAGGCTTCGCCAGCTTCGTGGGGGGTGTCACCCTCTGGGGAATCAATGCCCACTTGTCCTCGGCACCGATTCCTGTCTCCGAGTCCGTCTTCTTTATGTTCATCCCTGGGGTCTTTTGTGGGGTTTTTGTGGGCTTGACTTTCTGCTTCTCGGCAGAAGTGTTGGATATAGGAGTCTTGTCTTTACTTGCCGAGGGAGCTCCGGGTTTACTGGGGATAACGATTTTTTCTGTCGTGGACTTGTTAGCGTCATGCTGCACTGTGGTAGCTTCTGTGCTACTCGTTATCACGGGTTTTCTACTATCAGACGTGGTACCGTCTTTCTCCAGCGCTGGATTTTTATTCGCAGGTAGCTCAGTGGTTGGTAGATCAACTATCCCTCCTATGTTATCCGGTTTGATATCTTCTTTGTCATCATTCTTATCATCGGGCTTTTTCTCCTTTTCTGATGACTGTTCATGAGGCAAGCTTGGTCTCTCGGTCTTCTGGTTGGATAGATGCGCGGGAGTTGGCATTTCCTCCGATTTCTCACCCAGTTTTATGTAAGGATCGTCCTTGTTGGTGCTTTGGTTGGCCACCTGCTCGATTGATTGGACATTGGTTGCTTCAGGTTTGGTGCCATCAGTTGTTTGCGTCACCGGGGTCGTCGCGTCTTTGGATGGCGATAAAGCGGATTCGGATGCAGTCTCCTCGGTTCCGATTGAGCTTATTAGACCGTCTGGGGTCGTACTGATTGAATCCACTTTATCACCAGATATCGTAGATTCCCCTTTTTGGACTAAACTTTCATCCAACTTCTGAGACGTCCCATTTGAGAGCGGATGCTTCGTAACCAAAACTGCAGTGTCGTTTACTCGTATTCTCGTCTCTTGATCCGTCTCATGAATGATCTCAACTGTAGACAATTTCTCAGTCGTAGGTGCGGTCAAGTCTGCAACGGAATCCTTTGTGTCATCCATCTGGGAAGGTTTCAAAAGCTCCATCAAGGTTGTGGGTGATCTCACAGTCGTGCCCGACTCCGAATCAGGAAATTGTACACTGGATTGATCCTTATCACCTTTTTGGACAGACGTTTCTTCATCGAAATTCCCTTGGGTGGTCTCTGTCATAGAAATTGTAACTTTTTCTGTTACCACTTCGGAAGGTCCTGCAGACTCTTGCGAGTAGCTTTGCAGAGTACCTTGAAGAGGTCTGCTGGACTCCTGCGTTGTTGGGCCTGATTGTGCATTTTCATTCGAAGAAGAAACCTGCATGGTTACTTTAGGAGCCTCGTTCTTGATACTCTCGGGTTCTTTCGCAATAATTGGAACTTCAGAAGTCTTTTGGGTCACCGCAACTGTCTGGATAATCGGAAGGTCAGTTAGCTGGATCATCGGTGGTAACTCCGTACTCACAACTTCAGGAGTTAAGTCGATCCTGACGACTGCGGTTTCTGGCTTCTTCATCTCTGACTTTATTTCCTTGTCCAAAGGTGCTGGACTTCCTGTCTGACCTTCGACCTCACTAGATACAGTTTCCATCTGACCCACCTGGATGGATGGTGATCCTTCGTTCGTTTTCTCGGTGGACGAATTTGTTTCGGTCTTCAAGGAAGATTCTTCAGTCGGAGTGATAGCAGCTTCAGTCGCGTCTTCGATTGCCTTTGTCGTGCTTGCTTCTCCTTTTTCGGCTGGCTTCTCGATCGAAAGTGACTGCGATTCTGGAGCATCCTTGATTGGAGCATCCTGAATCGCTATAACTTCCGGTTGGATGTCGCTCGTCGTGGATTCTGAGTTCTGCGCCCCAAATGGCGTCACCGTGGAAACACCTTCCAAAACCGAAGACACCTCACTTTTTGACTCATCCTTCTTCGTCGTCATCTCCGGTGCAACGGAAGTCGAATATATCTCAGTTGCACCATTGTAAAAACTTTCCATGGTGCTGAAATTTATCCTTTCAGTGGAAGTGACGCTTTCCGCAGCAGATTTCATCGTAGATGTCTGCTCTTCAAGTTCTCCACTAGATTGCTCAGAGACTGGATTAGATAATTCCAACTTCGAATCCGAGTTTTGGTCCTTGGTTTGCTCCGTTTGTTCGGCAGAAGAGTCGATCACCTCTTCTTTCGAACTTTCCGTCATTTTGGTGATCATGTCATTAAAGGAAAATGAATTCTCAGTCACTGCTTTCGTACTCGTATCCTCCTCAGGAGTAGAAGACCTCTCGGCATCCGAAATGTAGATTGTCGTTGACTCAACAGGACCTATCGTTGACAATTCCTCGGCTACTTTCTGGCTTTCCGTCACCTCTGTTCCTTGGATTCGAAGCGTTGGGCTCGTTGTAAATCCAGCAATCAGACCACTAGCTATGTTGCTGCCATTGATCTCTTTAGGCAAAGTCAGGGCAACCACGGAAGGAGTGCTGGACTGCACCGGCGCACTTTCCAACAATTGATGTATTATGTCAACTGGTCTCTTGGACAAATTGACAGGAGAACTGTCGTTTCTATCCGTAGCTTGGGAATTAATTCCCTGTTCTAATATCTTCTCAGGATTGAAGCCTGCCAGATCAATCCTTACCACTGGAACTTCTCCTACATTCTCGTCCTCCCCAGCATCCGAAACATTTTTCTTCACCGATTCCTCAGTAACAGCCTCGGTTGAAACAGTCGAATCAGAAACCTTCTCCGTCAACGAATTATCCGTTGTTATGGTATTGCCAACATTTGCATCAGTTGCAACCTGCAAGGTAGGAACCGTGACAGAACTGGGAGGCTGACTGGAAGTCTTGAAACCCTCAACATTCTCCGTCTTCGACGACTCGGATTTCGAAATTTGCGTCGCCGTAGAAGTTGTTTCAAATTGGGGAACATCGGTACTTTCGCTCTCAAACAGATTAGGCTTGGATTCGTCAAGTTGGCTCATCCCATCTTCCACTGCAGCACTTTCCGTGATGTTGACCTCCGTCGCAGGAGCCTTTTCTGACGTCTGTGAGTCTTCAACGGTGACTTTTCCGTCCTCGTTTTCAGGAATAACAGTAGAAGCCTTGGTTTCGGTAGTATTCACAGGAATTTCCTGATTGGGCACCTCAGAGTGCTTCTCCATTTCGGGAGGCATCAGCAGACCAGTTAGATCTATTCGGTTGAGTCCATCGCTGTTATCAGGCTTTTCGGTGTTTTCTTGCGCCGCTTCGACAATTCTCATGGTCACATCCGCAGCTTCAGTGGTTTCCTCGGCGAGCAATTTCGTCGTGGCTTCGAGCCTGACATCCTCGACAAACCTGGAAGGAGTCGCAACGGTCTCGCCCTGGGAAATTGGCAAGATGGAGGGCACAGCATCCGAGATTTGGCTGATCATGCTGGACAGAGAATCGGCCAGCTCGGTCGGCAAAGGCTCAAAAGGCTTAGGAGTGTTTTCGGATGCACTTTCGGCATCCAGAGGAGTTGGCACGGTGGATGGCTTCAATGATTCCAAAGTCGTGCCCATTTGAGTAGGACCAAAGTCATCGAAAGATCCCACCATCGTATTTCCGTTTCCAAAGCCAGATAACATCGGAGAAGTATTCTGATTAGCATTGGATTCGGTATCAACGGGATGATTAAGCGACTCTATGATCTTCTCGATGGAGTTGGTCTCAGGGAACGCGGTAGTCTCGGACTTGATCTCATCTCCTGGACGAATCTCGGGCAGCATGTGGAACACCGGCTCCGAAGTGCTGACGAACTTTGTCTGATCATCTCCCACAGTCGAGAGGATCATAGTTTCCGACGAGGACTCCTGCACACTAGCAGGAGTGGTACCAAGGATTCCAATCCTATTCGCAGGGTCTTCGTGCTCCTGAAGCGACCCTGCAGGTGTATTGCCCATAATTGGAGCTGGTTGATGAGTCGTCGCAACCTCTGGAGACTTTGTAGCGTTTCTTGAAATCAAATCGGACACGATCGTGGTCACAGATTCCGGCAAGATGCTGCCGTTCATGGACACGTTCTGGAGATATATGGTGGTGGTTGTCTCAGGAATGGAAGGTAATTTGGTGGCCATCGCTGACTCTACAGCTGGGGATGAGAACTTGTTATCACCAAATACTAACTCTGCCCCCGAACTAGGCGTGGAGGTGTACTTGGAATCGACAATCGTGGACACTGGAACATAATTATCGGTGGTGGTGTCCGGTAAGTTCTGCGCCACCTTATCGGCTGGACCAGGGAAGTGACCAGGTCTCATCGAGAACGCAGGCTTCACCCTATCGGCCATTACAGGTACGGACGACTCAAAGATGGGCACTTCGGGTTGACCGGAAACCTTCATGGAGGTTGAATGCGTTTCGGCAACCACGCTGACGGTCGACAGGATTTCGCCATCATTGGAGGCAGTCGTGGTTGGGACCGAAACGGCCTCGAAAACCACAGGCCGCTTCGATTCGTCCGTGTCAAATCCGGCATCGTGAGTGCCGATGGGAACGGTCCCTTCGGCTTCCTTCGTCGAATCCGTTCCAGAAGCTGCCGGCTTCTTGATCCCGCTCATTGTCACGGGCAAAACCGTGGTGGCCTTCGTCTCGGATGCGTTGGTATCCTTCAACGCTTCAGCGGATATCGTGTTCAGCATTTGGAACACCGGGTTCTCGTTGCCGGAGGGGTACCTGGTTGGGAGAGTCTCATCCTTCACGATAACAGGCACCGGAACCATTGGCCTCTCGGGTCCTTCTGCTTCGGGGCTCGCTGGTTTCTTTTTCTGCTCCTGGGTCAGATCCTGATCTTGACTCGGCCTGGCCGTGACCACACCCGGCCTTTGGGTTTCTCTCAGGACCTCGGTCGTCTCCTTGATGGGGCTACCTGTACTACTGGGCAATTTTGCGGGGGAACCGCTGATTCCTGACGCGGAAACGACCACTTCCATGTGCGATTCCGGTAATGTCGTGGTCGCGGAGGACTCCTCGTTCGCTTGGACCGTGGGAACGTCGCTCGACGTTTCAGCAAGCGTTGGTGGCCTCTTTTCAGGTTCGCCCATTGTTTCGGAGGTGCTCACTGGAGCGGCATCCGCGTCGCCGGACAAAATGGCGGGCAAGATGCTGCTCCATTCGTCGTTGGAATGACCTGGTATCGTCGGCAAGGAACTCATTACCGTGGTCGGCTTGTTCAACTCGCCCTTCAGGACGTTCTGCACGATCTGCACCACGTCGGCGACCTGGAACGAATTCGAACGTCAACCTTCTTCTCTGGACCGAACTGAGTCGTTGCTGTAATTTTTTTAGCATTTATATCATTTATACATAGAAGTTAACTAGTTCCCTACCACGTGAATGACAAACATTTGACATTTTCGTTTCCCATAAAGGATTCTACAAAATTTGGAATCGATGAGTAGCATGTAAAGTCAGCATGCCACAATGTGAACACGAAGAGTCATCGAAATTTCGTCTGGCAGGTGACGCATTGAAAAGTAATTTGGAGATCGATAGGACGCGCTTGTGGATGGGTGAATTTATTGATAGTGAAAAAACGGAATGGAAGGGAAGAGCTCAACTCACGTTGGTTCCTCCCATGGGAGCATCGCCGGCTTTTTGCGGCTCGTGGATGTCCATTGGCAATTGACCACCTCCGGCTGCAATTAGGGTTTTTATCTGTTGACTGGTCATCTGCTTCTTGACGATGTCACCCCGGTCGTCGTACATGTAGAATTGAAATCTGTCCGGCCTGAGGAGTCCTGCCGGCGAGGCCGGCAATTCCTGGGCCTTCCTGCTGTCGGAAGGGTTGACTTCCTCTCGGTGGCGGTCATCTCCTCCTGTCACCACCGACACTGACGTGACCACGCTGCAAAGTGACAAATAAATTAATTTCCCTTCCCCTATGATCCATATCCCACAAATCCACAGTTCTCTCAGACGACCAAGTTTCCCCCGTGTCTTTAAATTTTAGTAAACTCTTCTCTACCCATCACGGCTCGATCACAGGAATCCAGACTGCTAAACGAAATCCACGACCGAGGACACAGCGAACACGCCAGGAATGCAAAATTCCCGAAAGGGTGTGACTCGAGAAATAGAATTCATCCGATCGACCGTACTCGTTGTCCTTGTGATTGTTTCACAGGAGAAAGGATAATATCTCGCCGACTCGCGTTCGCCGCGAATGAACGAATTTATTAATCCCTTCGTTCTAAAAATCTCCTTAGTAGATAAATTTTACTCCGGATTAAGTATACCGAACCGTTTCCACCTTCACAATATGAATATGGAGGCCATAAGGAAGGTACTGACACCCATAAAATTTCAATTTTTCTGCAAAAATTATAAGATATCTATAAACAAGTTTAGAAAAATTAAAATTTCGCAGGTGTCAGGAGCTACCTTATAGCCTCCATAGTCTCTTTTTGTTTGAAACGATTCGATGCCAGGTTTCACGTCACCGTAAGACCGGGATTAAAAGGCAATGTAGAATGTCTCGCACAAAGTGGCGTTTTCTATGTCTCCTGGCATTTAAGCCGGCCCTCGGACCTTATCACGGTTATCAGTCGACGCAAGGTGGTCGCTACCAGTTCTCGGCAATATCCCACTTCCGTTTCTTGCGTCCCACCCCACGAGCGTGATCGCCCTTTTATTAGTCCTCCCCTTATCCCTAAATCCGCCAACCGTGCCGAGCCGTGCCGGGCGGAGCGAACACCTGCACAGGTAGCGATGCGTGCGTGCACGCGCGCCGACCACCTGTATCGTGGTTCGAGATTTCCTCTCGACATTCGAGACACGCGAGGCTAAAATACCTGGCCGAACGTACGGCGTTATCGCGAAATCGTCCCCCGTAATCGGGAGCCGGGACTGGTCACGAGGCCCGACCGGTGTAATAGATAATTGGACGCTTCGTAATCCGTTAGCCGATCTTTACCCGCGACTCGATCGATCTCTCTTCTCCCCCGAGGTCGTGATCCCGTCGGCTCCCGGGACGGCATCCCCGGGGAGCCCCCTAGAACCTCGGAAATTAATCACTTTCTTCTTAATAACACCTCCAGACCCTTCCTGCTGCTCCCGGCTTCTTGCGCCGGGCTCCCAGGAAATATCGAGGGCCTCGGAGGGGATGCCCCGAGGAAAGGCCATCGAAATTGCTGAAGGGTCCTCCCACTTGTTGGTTTTTTGCTCCTCTTTCTTCCCCCGTTAAATACCCCGGTCCCCTTCTTTTGCACCTCCTTCCTGCGCGAGCTGGACGTCGTCGAAGAAGGTGGACTCGGTTCGGAGAATATTCAGGTGGGAAGGGAATTTGATCAATTTTTCTCGGTTAAAAAAAAATTGTTATCTCCTTTTTCGCGCCTCCCTTCTGCAGGAATTGAGTTTTATCGGAGAGGTATCGACTCGGATGTTCAGGGAGGAATATTTCTTGAAATTTCATCGAATTAAACAACATAGTTCTCTTTCACAGATCCTTCCTGCGGGGGTTGGATGTTATTAGAAAGGGTGGACTCAATTCGGAGTATGTTCAGCTTGAAAGGGAATTTTAGAAAATTTCTTCGTTTTATATACTCTGGTTTCTTTTTTTGCTCATCTCCTTCCTACGGGAACTAGACATCGCCAAGAAGGATGAACTAGTTCCGGGGGATGTACGGATTAAAAAAGGATTTGGCAAGTTTCCGCCGGCTTAAGATTATACGTATTGATTATGAAAACAAACCTGGAGCCTAGTAACCTCGTGGAGGTCTCCAACTCTTCATCTGGGACCGGAAGCGCCAACGTCGGCCTGAAGTTCGCCAAGACCAACAGCGCCATTAGCGGCAGCCAACGGCAACTTCTCCCCATCTTGCGGCCGCGATCGGTCTTCTGAAAAAGCAGAAAAAGATTGCTTTCAATATTCACCCTCGAGTCGTCAATTCCGACTTCGAGGTCGAGGTATATCGCCCGGAACGGTAAACTTCAAAACTTTCCAAATCGAAGCATGTTCCGGTGCACGGCGTACGTGCACGAGGAACCGCCTTGGTCGACCAAGACAGGACTCCGATGGCCGATTTCCTAGCAGAGGCCAAAACTTTAATAGGGTCACCTTATCTTTTAAGGTCGCTGGAATCATCCAGCTTCCTTAACTGTCCACTTTTTTTTTATTGTTTATTACTCCTCATGGTGGTTTTTTGTGTCATCGTCCGCGCTCTTTAGAATGGCGTCATCGCTTCTCTATGCACTCCAGGGTGTTTCGTGACCCTCTTGGAATAAAATGCACGCAAATCTTGGGAATGCCGAGGAATACGTGCACGCGTGCACGGTAAATTTAAACTCGGCTCACTCGAATGGAATATCTAGGTGCAAGGTGTTCATGACTCTAATTTAATGACTGCGATTCGCAGTCGGGCCGTAACGGCAGTCAATGCGTTCCTTTCACGGAGTTTCATTCATCGGGCATCGCGAATGCGAATAATCGAACGCGCGTTCGCTAATGACTTATTAATGACCGTACGAGGCTCCATTAAGAATCGGATCGCGTGTGACACGATCCAAATTCTGACAAACGTGAGCCGCGAAGTTCGGCCCTACTTCCATTCTTGTCACGCTTGACCCGATTGTCTCCCTCGCGTTTTCCTTCCTCCTTTCGAAGGGAGAGGCTTTGATATTTCTCTCACTGTCGAGTTACCGCGTCAAATTACCGAGTTCCTTGTCACAGAGTGATCCTACGTCGTGTTATCGAGTTATTACCTAGACTCATTACACGGCCACACTGAGGAAAAAAAAAACATTCATTGAACCCAAGAATGAAATCGAGATGTTTCATTGAACAGTCCGAAAGAGATATTCTGTTAATTCAAAGAATATTTCATTGACTCAAACAAATTGCCATAATTCCCAAGAAATCTTGCATCCAATTTGCTGGAGTTTATTTGAGTCAAATAACTATTCAGAAGAAACGGGGAAATTTTAATCCGATATATAAATCCACCTCTTTCCAAATTCAACACAATTATGCAGTTATAGAGATAAATGGGTTGAAAAATCCATGCTTAATTTAAATTAAATAATTCTTGTCGTAGCTTTAACAGAGATTAATTTTTTAGAATTTACGACAGCTAGGAAATAAAGTAATTCTACAAAGGTATTTAAATCGCGCAGAATTTGGCATTTGTTATTTCACTTACTCGTGAGATAAAAATTGAAGAAATTAAGGGACGTATGGAATTAAATTCTCGAGATTTATTCTTCGTTTTTCGGAGCTTTGGTCGTACTTTTCGAGCAGGGGGAACATCGTTCGATCGAATTCGGAGCCAGTTCGACCATGCATGGAACGTACGCGCAACATCGGGCACCATTATGTACAGCGAAGCATGTCGAGTGTGACATCATCGGATTTCCAGGTGAAAAGGGGACGGACACTTCCGTAACAGCATTTTGGCCCGGATACATGCGAGACTCGTCGAAAGGAAGTCTACCTCGTGTCTAGTCTCGATTCCTGCTCGACACGAGAAGGTACATTCGACAATAAAATTGTTCACGCGCACGCACTCGCACGCGAGTCGCGTACAGCACTCGACCCTGCACGAACGGTCGCGTTACGAGGAATCACGAGGAGAAAATCAACGGGAGAAAATTGCGTTAATTGAATTCAATGCTCCCAGGATCTGGGAGGAGTTATTAAGACCTAATAAACCCTCTTTCCGCTTTGCAAAAATCCAGAGAATTTATTCAAGGCGCTAGGAATAAAAAAATTGTTCTTTTTCATATTTTCGCAGAATCTTTTAAGACCTCCACTACCTCGAAAGAGTTTTCCTAAAGATCTCCGGAATTTAATTCAGGTGGTGGGAAATTTCCAGGATTTTTATCGGCTCAACTACACCTAAACAACGCTTCTCTCTTTTCGAAAAGAAAATTCCTGCCGATTTATTCCAGGCTTCAGAAATTTTACAGCCTGCCCAAAAGTATATTTCCCTGCGAGATTATTCCATTCGCTGAGGGGAACTACTTCGGATGCAATTCCGCAAAAATGAGTTGGGGAACTTCTGAGTGGGTATTCTAAATGCTGAAAAGGGTTGTTATTTTCGTGACGCCTATGCATGCGTCCATTAGACGGGGCTAAGTGCAGTATCGGTGTGCTTTGAAGACGCGACATTCGATGGTAATTTACAGCTGCGACACTGATGAAAGTATTAAGTAAATTCCTAGTTGATGAGAAAAGGGGAAGTTGAAGGGAATGTGGAGAATGTCCCATAGTTGTGTAACACGTTGAACCATTCTTGGCACAGTCATTGGCCTTGCGTCGTAGACAGTGGCCTTGCTGCGGCACTTGTACTCGCTGTAATTCGATCCAAATGAGTGTCGAGTACTGGTACTTGGTACTTTCGTTACCATATCCGATGTTTTATGGGTCTTGTTATAGATCCTTATAGCATGCGAAGCTCGAAAATAGGCGCACAATTACATAGACCTCCCTCGTTGCGTCACGTTCTGAGTCAGCGCAATCAAGGAGCACTCATCAATGAGCCGTCCACTTTCACTAATAAATAATTATTAACGTTTAATCTCCATTTACGTGGAATATTTGTCGAAACTTTTGAACCTCCAAAATTGTTTCTAACCCTTTTTTGTACCAAATGACGGCGAATCATGGTCAAGGATCTCGGATTTGTGGGAAATAAATCCGCCATTCCTTCACCCTACACGATTTCACGGTAAATCGCGATTCGACGCGTTATTAAGATAATCCTAGGTCTGGTTACAAGGATAAACCGGCGGAAATCGCCGCAGAAAAACTCGAGGAAAAATAGAATGAGCTCGGGAGAGGAGACGAAGGGATCGCGAAGGGGTCTGGCCGATCTGCCCAGTTGGACCAGCTGGACCAGCTGGACCAAATGGAGCAGCATCCGTTCCGGGATGGCCTCCGCTCTTCTTCCCTTTTTCCCGCCGATTCCGGAATACAGTTACCAGGGCTGGAGATGATTTCTTGCACGACGCGCCGGACCGACGTCCATCTCTTGGCGATCTAATAATAATGCGATCACTCCTCGGAAACAAAAAGGTCCTACCGGACGAAAGAGGAAAAAGAGAGACGTAATGAAGCTAACGGTAGCGATCAGAGCCTCCTCCTCCGAGCTATAACTGTATCATGATGTCCTAATTGGGGCCGGTCCCTCCACCCGTGTGAACGCACCTTAACCCCGAAGATGACCTCCCATCAAGATTCATCCTCAAAGTGAAATCAAATTGGATGAAAAATAATTTTTACGACAACTGTTCATTTCTCACTGTTCATCAAACATTTCTCATTTCTTATTCAACTGTTCATCAAATATTTCTCCAAACTGGGTGTACCGAATCGATTGAAATTATACCACGAGAATGTGTATGCTCTAAGAAAAGGCCTGACAATCATAAAATGTCTTTTTTTTTAATTTATTTATAAACTATTTTTAATTTTTTGTGAAAATTGATATTTCATGCACGTCAAGACCTTTCTTAGGTCTCAACTCGGCACACCTTGTTCGTAGAAAAGTTTCATAAACGACTCACTCCTCAGATGCCACTTTCGTATCGCCTTAATGAGCCCGAACGCACTCGCAATTCTCACATGTAAGCCACAGAGTCTTGCATAGTTCGATGATCATTACGATGCCTGATTGGCCCGTAAAGGAAATCTCCATCGTGTTACGATCCAGGAGTCTTCCTTATTATCCAAGATTAGACTCTGCACAGTGTCTCTCCATATCGGCTCACCGTAACGAGCGAAGAGTCCGCAGTTAAACAATTTACTTACTGGCCAATTTTGAGGGTAGAGAAAAACGTCCTGGGAAAAGAAGCTTCGATAAAAGAAATAAATTCCTCATTTTCATCAGCCATTCCAATTACCTCCCGAGGTTCGGGCATCGATTTGACATATTTTAGCAGCAGTAGATGTTCCTCGAACCGTGGATTTTAAATATGCATCTCTGGGCGCGTATATAGCTGTGAACTTTATAACCGTGTAGACATATTTTCATTTCTCGCCCCCGCCTGCGAGATCCACCGCCAAGGCGGTTCAGCGGACTTTCAACTCCCGACGGGAAAATTTTCCTTCGGGATTCAAAGAAACGCGAGAAGAGCCCTCGCGGCGCGTCGAGGTTTTACCGCGACCTACATTTTTTGGAAATTTATTTACTCCTACCTCGGAGTCTCCGTTAAGCGAATGCTTACGTCAACCCTCGAAAGTGCGCCCACGCCTCTGAGTCGGTCCGTCGTTTTTCGCACGTAATCACGCTCCGACCGACAAACACAATGATAAGAGCCTATACAGTTAACACGGATGAATATCACGGATCCACCATCTTCATTTAACGAGACTAGTGCCGTTTAAATCGGTGTGTAAGGAAAGGTGGTATGCATCATGCCTCTCCGTCAGCTGATTCAGGGAATAATTTAAAGCGCCCAATTAAATGGAAGGACATATTCATAATCCAAATGTACATAAATATATACATACGTATATGCACATAACAGCAGTTAGTTACTCGCGGTAATCTAATTGGGAAAATAAATTTAAATTCACGAGTTAATACTGAGATTTTAGGGCCACGGAATGGGATGAATCGTTCCAAATCATTTCATTTCCTATTATACGAATGATCTCGAAGCGATTCAGGTTTTATTTCACGACTTATGTCGAGTTTATTATTTTTCATTAAAGCTCGAGAGTAAGGTAGGTCCAGCTCAGCAGTCAAAGTACAGGATAATTATTTGATCGAGGATTACGCAAACTATCAAGGGGCAGTTGCACTTAAAGGCGTAACGTTTACGAGCACTTACAATCATCCGATTCTGCTCAAAATGAGCCGCTTGCATCAGACCAGTTTCCGGGAGAAACCACCTCT